AGTGCAGATCATTGAATCATCTGCCACTGAAGCTGTTCATTCCTTGCAACAATTGTTGGCCCCAATTAAGGGTATATTGCACATGGAAGGAGACCTTAGAGGAAGTCTTGCAAAACCAGAATGTGATGTACAAGTAAGGCTCCTGGATGGTACAATTGGGGGCATTGATCTTGGGCGAGCTGAAGTTGTTGCTTCCCTAACCTCAAGTAGTCGTTTTCTGTTCAACGCCAAATTTGAACCAATCATCCAAAATGGCCATGTACACATAAAAGGAAGTGTTCCTGTTACTTTTGTCCAAAATAGCATGTCTGAGGAAGAAGAAACAGAAACAGAACGAAGCAGGACAACTTTGGTCCCTGGCTGGGTGAAGGAAAGGGGTGAGGAATCAACTGATAAAGCTAGTGAGAAGAAAACCTTTCGAGAGAGAATAGAAGAAGGTTGGGATGCTCAGTTAGCAGAAAGCCTTAAAGGTTTAGACTGGAACATCTTAGATGTAGGAGAAGTTAGAATCAATGCTGATATAAAGGATGGGGGCATGATGTTGTTGACAGCATTATCTCCTTATGCAAACTGGCTTAATGGCAATGCTGATGTCATGCTTCAGGTTGGTTAGCTGAAGATAGGTTACTTGTTACCTAAAACACTTATGGTAAAGAATTTGCATAAAATTTAATCAAGAATTATTTAGTATTAACTTTCAAATCTTTTATGTCTTTTAATAAACAGGTTAGAGGCACAGTTGAACAACCTGTGCTTGATGGGTCTGCATCATTCCACAGGGCATCTATATCTTCGCCAATACTCAGAAAACCCCTTACAAACATTGGTGGCACTGTACATGTGGAATCAAATAAGTTATGCATTGCTTTATTGGAGAGCAGGGTAAGCAGAAGGGGGAAGCTGCTTGTAAAAGGGAATTTGCCTGTTAGAACAAGCGAAGCATCCATGGGTGATAAAATTGATTTGAAATGTGAAGTTCTTGAAGTGCGGGCAAAGAACATTCTGAGGTACATTAATCTTTCTTTGGAGCATGATTTATGATTCTTTATATGATGATTTTGTTCCTGAATGCTGATTCTTTTGTTTTTTGTAAGTTTGATGAAAGGCAGTGGTTCCTGCACTACCCCTGCACCCAATCTGCCTTTTGGCATTTGCCTACACTTCCTATTAGATCTTTATACTCAACGGTTTCCCCCCTCCCCACCACTGCACGGGCATTTTTTTAGCTGTCTAATTGTTTCAATTTCCTTTACCTATTGGTCGTGGAGAACTGACATCTTGCTAAAATCAGTTGCCAGGTTGACACTCAATTGCAGATAACTGGTTCCATACTGCAGCCAAACATCTCAGGGAATATTAAATTGAGCCATGGAGAGGCATATTTACCACATGATAAGGGTAGTAGAGCTGCACCGTTTAATAGGATGGCTTCAAATCAATCTAGGCTTCCAGGTGCTGGAGTCAATCAAGCAGTTGCTTCTAGATATGCCTCACGATTTTTCAGTTCTGAACCTGCTTCTTTGAGGACCAAACTCCCACAACCCTCTGGTAGTGTATGCTATTCAATACTTTGGATTCTGATTTTTTTTCTCTAGCAGTCAATGAATACTGCAATAGAAATCAAGACTACTCTTTATATGATTTTAAAATTTTGAACTTTTTCGGTAGATGTTATTGAAATGTTGCTTTTTCAAGATCTGGCTACGACTTCAAGTCTAATCTGGACAAGAATTTCTTTTAATACAGTGCCTTATAATGATTTGGAGATGAGATGAAATTTCCTTTCAAATATCTTTCTGGGCACCTATAAGTGGACATATCATTTATCACTCATTTGCTCATGAAATTATCAATCCTAAGTTAAACACAATAAGATCTCTAAATTAGATATGAACAATGGTGACCTTTGCCTTCACTTAGGCTTAGATAACTTGCCTTCTTAGATAACTTGAAGTGGTTTAAGGCAAAATCTCTTATAGTGGATTTTCTTCTTGTGTTTCAATACTTTGAAGCCTCAAATGGATGCCAAATATAGGGAATAACCTACTTTGATTGCAAGATGAAGAAGAAAAAGGCATAAACTAAAAGTAGTGAATTAAGAATTTATGTCCATAGGTGAAATTTTGTATTAGAAAATTATAGATTGGGATACGTGCTGGTTTATTGATTTATAAAACTGGCATGTGTTATTTTTCAATGCTATTGTTCTAAACTTATCTTTAGCTTTTGTGTGGGTAATGACTGGATGAAGTTTCTTGTGAAAGAGAATAAAAAATAATATCAATTTCCTGAAATGAGGAATAAGAATTTACCATCAGTTTTATGTTTACTGAATTTTTGTGATCATGAAAATTCCTATTTATTGTTGTATGATCAATTTGCCTCCATTATTTGCTTCTGATCATCCAAGTGAACTATTTCTTGCTTTTTGCATTTAAATCAGCTGAAGTTGAGAAGGAGATGGAGCAAGTGAACATTAAACCAAGTCTTGATGTCCGCCTTAGTGATTTGAAGCTTGTTTTAGGACCAGAATTGAGGATAATTTATCCTTTGATTCTTAACTTTTCTGTTAGTGGGGAACTGGAGTTGAATGGCCTGGCTCATCCGAAATGGATAAAACCCAAGGGCGTTTTAACATTTGAGAATGGTGATGTGAATCTTGTTGCAACTCAAGTGAGTCCTATACATTTCGATATTACGCTTGTTTAAATTTCTTTCCATCGTGCTTTCCAAATTTGTTTCTGGTGGACTTTTTTTATTGCATTTAATATGCTGACATTGACTTGTCCAAATTCAGGTCAGGCTTAAGCGGGAACATCTAAACATAGCAAAATTTGAACCTGAGCATGGTCTAGATCCAATGCTGGACTTAGCTTTGGTTGGATCAGAATGGCAATTCAGGATTCAAAGCCGAGCCAGCAAATGGCAGGAAAAATTGGTGGTGACCTCAACAGGTTCTGTGGAGCAGGATGTTCTATCCCCCACTGAGGTAATATAATAAAAGATACAGTGATCGCGTCATTTTTTTATTTCCTCTATGTCCCTTGATATGATTTATTCTGTCTGTAATGTGCTATAAGCATTTGTCCCAATTCTTTCTAGCAAAGTGGCAAAGGTAGAATGGCACAAAGTCAGTGTCTTTAGAAACTTCTAATCTAGGGTTGCATCCTATGGCATTATTTAATGAATTATTATTCGTAAATGATGGTCAAGGATTTCTGGTTTTTACTTTATATGCCGAATAAGCTGTGTTAATGAAGGATAAAGTCAAATCATTCTGTGTGAAATATTTCTTCTTCCCTATACCGTGCAATTTGCTTGAGATGTAATGGGAAGTTGGAGCTATCATGTAGTTTTTTTTGGTACTTACATTCATATTTATTACATTTGTCTGATCTCTGTGCCAATGAATGTAATATTTGCTTCTGGTTTTCTGTTGGTCTGATAAGGTAATTGTCCAACGCAGCAGGGAATTTATAACGTTAGCCTTGATATGTGGAGAATTTTTGCCCTAGGTTTGGATGTAGTTAATCATCTTGTTTATAGTTGCCAAATTGAGATAAAAATTCTGGTCTCATGGGCTATAGTGATTTATTGTGAATTTTCCACTTTTGGACAGGCTGCTAGAGTATTTGAGAGTCAATTGGCTGAATCCATATTGGAAGGTAGTGGCCAACTTGCATTTAAAAAGCTTGCAACTGCAACACTTGAAACGCTAATGCCAAGAATAGAAGGGAAGGGAGAGATTGGCCAGGCCAGGTGGAGGCTAGTGTATGCCCCACAAATCCCTACTTTGCTTTCCGTTGATCCTACTGCTGATCCTCTCAAATTCTTGGCCAGTAACCTATCCTTTGGAACAGAAGTTGAGGTCCAGCTTGGAAAACGTCTGCAGGTAAATCCAAATTGTACCCATCCTTGATAATCAATATTCCATTTCATATAAGGAGCTCTTCCTTCATGCATGTGAATCAATATATAGAATAAGAAAGTGGGGGAAAATTATGTGTTCACTGATTATTTGAAGGTGGCTCAATAAGCTTTTACACAATCTTTAAATCAATGTTGAATTTTGTTCTTATACCTGAAATCCTTCGTCATTTTCATAGGCCTCCATAGTTAGGCAGCTGAAAGACTCAGAGATGGGTACGCAGTGGACCTTAATCTACCAGCTTACAAGCCGATTGCGAGTGCTCCTACAATCTGCGCCTTCCAAACGCCTTCTTTTCGAGTATTCTGCTACTTCACAAGACTAACTAACCTGCTATGTGCCATCTTCCAGCTAAAACTGGGCTTTGAACAGGTAAAAGTTGGATGGTCATGGCTACCCTTAAAAGTAAAACCAGGGGAAAAGAGGCCTAAGGGAAGGGGTAGTATTTTTTTGAAAATGTAAATGTGGGTTTGGTTACATTATTCTTATTCTTTGCTCCAAATATATGAGCTTGTTTATATTTCAATCACCTTCATCTTTGTACATATGTAAAATTCAAAGGAATAATATATTTTCCAAAGTTATTTGGAAATTGTTATAACCTTACTCTTGTTTTCAATAACAAGAAAAAAAAAAAAGGGTTGTCACGAAAATCTCCATGGATGGAGGAACATGATTTTTCTGTGGGAGGAAGAAGGCGAAAGTGTGCTAAAAATCTGTTCCAATAGGTTATGTTCTTCTATAACTCGGCACCAATCCAGTAACACTGACTCACCAGTAGCCTCTTGCCTCTTAAAAAATGGTAAAATACTAATAATTTTTATAAGTGAGCGGGTTAATCTGTTTCAGGAATATTCCCAAGAATTCGTAAACCGAAACTGGATTGAAGTTAAGTCGGTTTCCAAACAGGTCGCTGACAACACTGCTTTCAAGTAAAAATCCCCTCTCTTTTTCTTTACTGAAAAGCATTATCATTGCTTTCCATTTTAACCGGAGATCTCTTCAATCCTCTTCTTCTCTTTTCATTTTTTTGTCCCAACGATCTTCAACAACTTAGAGCATTCTGGTAATTTCTCTTTCAATTTCCTCTCTCGTTTCCCGATCATACCAACTCTATCCTTACACGGAATCTTTTTTCTTTTTTCTTGTATTTCCTCAGGGAAATTTTGCTTTTTTTTGTTAAAATTTTCTTTCTGATCTTTGATTTTCGTTGTTTTAACGTTTCTTTTTGGTTTGCTCTTTGCCACGCGTCGACAACAAATCGAAAAGCTTAAGAGAATTTTCGTTATTATATTGCTTCCTTGATAAAATTCTTTTTAAAAGATTTAAAGAATTATTATTTATTTTTCCATTTTTTTCTACGGCTGGTAATTTCTATTTCGTTATCAAATGATTATATGTGTATATGTTATGATTACTAATCCCAAGGTATGAGACTTGAATATCAGGAAAGTATGAGATTTTTTGTGGTTTTTTATGAGATCTTTTGTGGTACTCCCACTCTAATAGCTAATAGCTAGCTTTTGGAGTTTGGTTTTCCCAAGCATCATCGTATCAATTGTTATTAGAGCTATCCAACGTATAGTTGCAATAGTGTGGCTTTGAGAAGTGACGCTGGAATAGCAGTGTTCGCCCGGGACTAGATTAAGCTAGCGCAAAGCCAGATGGCATGGCGGCTGGGTCGATTGTTATTATCTTAATTGGAAGTTATAGGTACAGTACTTGAATCTCACACGAAAGTATGAGATTTTCGTGGGGTTTCTGTGGACCTAAGTTTTCCCACCCCAATAGCTTTTGGGATTTTTTTTTTTTTTTGTATGATTCCCATCAGAATATTTTGTAATATTTTGTTTTGAAAGTTAATCCTAAGAGTTTGGTTTTAATATTTGATTGGATTTTGCATTACAAGCTTTGATTAAAAATCACAAGATTGAGCTGATTTATCTTTTTATTTTTCTTGACAGGGGTTTAGTTATTCTAAAGTATTGTTATTGATAAATTTGATTATTTCTATGGTTAAAAAATTATTGTGCCATTGTTATTTGAAGAGCAATAGTCATAACTATAATCACCTAAATGGAGTTTATTTTATATCAGTTGTTTGATGGATTTTAGACGCTGATTGTTTTATATCTCTAAATTGCTACTTGTTATCCATGCATTATGGTTAATGTTAAACAGACGCCATATGCTGACACCAACCTATTTTGGATGTGAATGCTACCTATATTCATTGTTTATTACAATTTAGTAGTGATTTACAAAAAAATCTTCGCTTTTGGGTTTTAATTCTTTGGAGCTTTACATAGTCATTTTCTTTCATCATACTGCTTTTCTTAATAGGTTTAACTCATATTAAATTTTCCTCTTTGTGGCTTATTCTTTTGAAAATGAATGATTTGCCTCATATCCTAATAGTGTTTATGTTTTTGTCTAAACGAATAGTATTCTTCTTCCACAAAGCCAATGAAGCCAGGAGTTTCTTCGTTGAATCCCTATGCAGCATCATACATACCTCTCGCCAAAAGGGAGTCAAATAATGATGTGATTTCTAAAGATATTAAGCCTGGCGATGAGACTGCTTGGTTTGAACCTTCCCTACACTTTGCACATAACCCACAATATAGCAGTGCTTCACTTGACACTCTAACCCATGGGACTGAAAAGCACCAGGTTGCTGAAGCTTCTGCGCTGAAAAGCCATTCTGCTCATGGTTCTTTGATGCACAATCCAAATGAAATGACTGACAAGCATATTATGGATGAAGAATTTGACATGGATTTGGAGTTTCTTCGTATGACATTCCCCGGTTTATCCAATGAGTCTCTTCTGGATGTCTACTTGGCAAATAATGGAGACTTGGAAACCAGTGTTGACATGCTGAACCAACTTGAGGTATATTTTGCCTAACTTTTTTTATAATATATAAATATGATTGTCTTTCTCATGAGTTTTTCTTTCCCTTTTCTTTTCTTAAGCCATGGGAGGATGAATTTTTGAGCTCCTCTCTTGCTGTTCTATCACACACATCTCCAAATGTCCTGCTATGAAGGTTGCGTAATGATGTAAATTAATTTCTAAATAATTTTGATTTTATTGTCAGATAACATATTTTGGCTGATGTTATATTTTTGGCTTTGACTAATAACTGTTTGACATCAAAGAGTTTGGGATCTTATTCCACCTTCTGGCCTATTTGAGCATAACCATGGTTTTCTTCCTCATTTATTTAATTCTCTTTTTTTTAAAGGCATATGTTTAATTCTTTTCTTTCAAGCAACGTCTGACATCAGTATGATGTTTGGTGACTGCAAATGAAAGAGATTTTTCCACCTTTTGAGCTTTCATCTGGTCTTTTACATTGATTTAGGTGATTGATTTTCCACACATATTTGGTTCTTACCATACTTGTGTCTTTGTGCACTTCTATTTTTCTTATTCACATCACTGTCTGTTGAATGTATCCAAAATGGGGTTTGTATATTAGGTCATTTTGTTCAGTTAATCTGTTTGTAACTTTTTTTTTATTTTGTATTCCATTGATAATGTAGATTGTAGGTTAATTGGATTGAATAAGGGCAATACTTTTGAACTGTGGATCAGATTTTTTCCTCATCCAACATGCACCTTGTTTGGTATTCGAAGGAAATATTCTCTATGCAGTCTGCTTCAGCTTATCAGTAGTTATAGGAATTACTGTAGGGTTTTAGACTGATAAGCCAAATGTTTACTTTCTATACAACATCCAAAGAAATAAAAGAGAAGGAAACAGAAAAAATTAAACAGAATGTTTTGTTTTCTGATGGCTATTGTGTTCCATCTTTACCATTACTTGTGATATATGCGTGATATATGCTGAATTAAGGTCCTTCTTTGATTTCACTGGAAGTAATTTCTGGAGTATATGTCATGTTGATTTTTGAATTAGTTGATGAACGAGTTTGAAAAATGTAACCTTTTACTGTATTTTGGTATTCATGTACTGGATTGTTATCTTGTTCAGATGTACACTGTTGAGTCTTCTGAAACTCTTCCTGACACCTTGGATATTGGTGATGTCTCTGAATCTGGATCTTTAGCAACCTGTGGTGCTCTTAAACTGAAGGTGGCAGAAGAAACCGGTGCTTCTTCATCAGGCTCAGCAGAATCAGCTGTCGCCTCCTGATTGACTTTGTCAAAGGATTTTAGTAGATTTTTTTCTTGTACGTGTTTGTGGACAAGTATACACAAGTAGGAATCTTTCTTGAAGGCTGAGAAATACTGTACTTGCTATATAACATTTAAAGGGTTAAGGTTGTATAGTTGTATTCTGCTTGCTTCTTCTACTGATAGCTGCTTTTGGAGCATATTGTTTGGTGAAAAGCTCCATGTGCAGTTAACATGCAAATCATAGTTTTCATCAGAAATGAAAATGATTCACCTTTGTTGATGTTGTTGGTTTACATTTGCTTGAGCATAGCTCTATCTTTGCTGTGCAGTTTCCGGAGGTACGAGCCACGTCACAATATTGTCATATCAGACCATACGTACATTTGGTTCTAAGAATCCATGACCGTGTAATGTAGGTGTATTCTTCTTTTTTGTGGAGAAGCTCCGGTGAATGGATGGAGAAGAAATCCAGCCTAATCATCAGATAAAAATATCATTTTGTTTTTTTTTATCCTTTTTAAACTATAAAACTAAATGGGGAATTAAAAAAAAGTTTGTTTTCTATGCAACAAAAGCAAAATTTTAATATACATAAATATATTTTATTAAATACTTGTCAATGTTTTAATTTTATTAATGAAGTTTAAAAATTTCCTTCTCACGAATATTTAATAATTTCAAGAAATTTAATAGTGTCAAAATATATCATCATCAATAAAAAAAATTAAGAAAAGAATTTTTTTCATATTCACATATGGAATTAAGAGAATGATATATGTATTATTTTATATTAATTTTTTTATTTTTAATATACTTTTTTTAACACAAAAACTTCAAAGGAAAAATAAAAAAAAGCCCATTCTAAAAAGATATTGGCCCAATGTCATCCTGGGCCGAAGATAAAGTTCTGAATGTCAAAGGCCCAGCCCAATATCTAGAACCCATATTCTCTAAATCAGCCTACTTCCTTTTTCTTTTAGAAATGAATAAACCCTTGTTCTGTTTCACTAAATCTTTTTTTTTTTTTTTTGAATAAACCCTTGTTCCTTTTCAGTTCCACCATTCTCTTAAAGAGGATTTAGCCTCTCTCTCTCTCTCTCTCTCTCTCTCTCCTCTTGTCTTCCTCGTTGTTCCTATTTGTTTGCCAAACGTGCCCCATATCCGACACAGAAACGACACGGTTCTGCAGCTGTGTTGCTGCTTGCCCCTGCTTCGTAACGTAAAAAGTTTAGCCTTTTCGTTTTCTTTTTTCCTTCAAATTTCCCATCACACCAGAAAGGTTACTGAGAAGGCTTTGATACATGTAATTGTATGTCCAAAGTTCAACTTTTAGTTCAAACTTTCCATGCCTTTTTGTTTATCTCCTGCAGTTCGTTATTCATGTAGAATTTGCACAAAGTTTCGTTTTTTGGGGAGTTTTTCTACTTCCTCTGCTCTAAAGACAGTAGATTTCTTTGAAGAAGCGGAAACCCATGTTTGCAACTATCCAGAATTACAGCGCAGGATGGAGAGTTATGCTACCTCAGGTGACTTTAGCAATGCTCTCTGTACTCTAAGTTTGATGAAAAACATAAATGGAAAACCAACTGTGTATGATTGTAATGCTTTGATGTATTGTTACTTGAAGTCAAAGGATGTTTGTTGGCAACAGTTAATTGAAATGTATAATGGGATGAAGAGATTTGGGCCTCAACCAAATGCATTCACTTTTAATACCCTCCTTAATGGAATGCTAATTCTTGGTAATTTGAGACATGCAATTTTTATTGTTGAAGAGATGTGCAGGAGTTCTTTTGTGCCGTCATTTAGTTCTTTGTCGAAAACGTTGAAAAAGATGGTGGAAGTAGGAAACGTTCTTGATGCTCTTACTGTTTTTGAGCTTATGTTAAGGTATGATTATTACCCAACTGAACCAACTTTGAATAAATTTATTTCAATGCTTTGTAAAGCAGGGATGGTTCCCAAGGTTTGTTTCGTGTTCTCTGTTCTTTTGAGGAAGGGTTATGTTTATAGCGTATATTGTTACAATCTGATTCTATGGGCTTTATGCAAGTCTGGTCTAAGTTATTTTGCTTTGCAACTGTTGTATTTGATGAAGAAGAAAGGGCTTGTTTATAATGTGTGTTCATATACTGCTTTGATTTATGGATTTAGTAGAGAAGGCCTGCAGGATGACGTTTTTCAATGTCTGAATTTCATGCAAAGTGATGGTTGTAAGCCTAATGTGATTACATACACGATAATTGTTAAGTTTCTTTTTGATAATGGGAAGTTTGAGGAAGCTATGGAGCTTGTGGGTAAGATGGAAAAGGAAGGATGTGATCCTGATCTGCTTACTTATAATGTTATTCTTCGTGAACTTTCCCATAGAGATAGACTGGCTGATATTTCTGAGTTCATTCAAGTGATGGATCAAAAAGGCCTTTCTCCTGATTCATACTCACATGCTGCTCTGTGTGGAGGCCTACTAAAAATAGGAAAAGTAAGGATTGCATGCAAACTATTTCTTGATGTAATTTCCAATGGCTGTACTGTGGATGCTGCTGTTTATAACATCTACTTCCAATGTTTATGTCGAAAGAATAAATCAAGAGAAGCATTATCTCTGTTGAAGAGCATGATGGAAGCAGGCTTTAAGCCAAACAATGTGTCATATAACACAATCTTGAGTGGCTTTTGTAGAGAAAGCAATATTAATGAGGCTTTGAATCTCTTGGACCATTTTGAGTGGGGTGCAAATGGGCCTGATGTGGTTTCTTTCAATACAATTTTGTCTACTGCATGCAGGCTAGGAAACTCTGCAATAATCCAAAGGATCTTGTATTGTATGGAGTATGAACGAATTAAGCTTGATGTTTTTAGTTTGACTTATTTGATTCAATATTTCTGCACAATTGGAAACTTTTCAGAGTGTCTGAAGTTATTGGAGTCCATGAAGCATAATGGTCCTACTCCAGCTGTAGTCACCTTCAATACGATACTGCATAACCTTTGCAAGAATTGGTTACTAGGAACTGCATATCGGATTTTCCAGAACTTAAGACACACCAAGTGCCTTCCTGATGTGACTCCATACAACATTCTTATCCATGCTTCCATAAGAGAGCGCAATCACCTTTTCATTGGTCAATTGTTAGGGGAAATGGATAGACAGAAACTGAAACCTGATGCTTTTACATATGGTTCATCAATTAGCTACCTCTGTAAGGGAGGGAAGATATCAATTGTTCTCCGGCTTTGGAATCAAATGCTAGAGAGTGGGATCATTCCTAGTGTTGTGATTTACAATACCATATTGCAGGCAATGTTTCAGAGAGGTGACTTTTGGGGCATTCTCTCATTACTTAAAGTCATGGTGGTGGAGGGGTTCCAACCTGATGAGGTAACTCTAGGGATCCTTAACCAAGCAGTTTCAAATGGTTGGATGAAGAGATTTCCTAAAGTTGCTAAAGTTCTGGAGTGGGTGATTAGCAATGACTTTCACAAAAAAACAGATCAAACGGCAATATCTGGCTGATTTATTTAGTATTTTGAAGTTTCTTCTCATATCATTGCTCAAAGCATCCAATAATATCTGGCTTGGTAAAGAACCATTCTGAAGAAGATTCAAGCATGAATCAGGTATGAAGAGTTCTTAATCACTGGCCAAAAAAAGAAGATGATTCTTATTGCATATATATTTTTTACCAGAGAAAAAAAATTTTATGTATATTATTAATATTGATAACCAACTTCTCATGCCACCCCCCCCCCCTTTTTTTTTTTTCTGATATGCAGTGTAGGAGAAAAATCCTTGCATTCAGATCAAGAGCCTCCATTGTCAAACATCTTAAAGTAGGGAAGGTAAACATTCTTCTAATCTCTTAATGTTTTTTTCCCTCTGCCCACACCCCTTTCTGTTTATACTAACACGATTGTATTCTTATTGAAAAACACAAATTGAATCTGCATTGTTATGCAACCTACAAAAGGAGTTGCTTTGGACTTGAATTTTCTTTATCTATGCATTTTATCAAACAAAAATTAAAGATCATGGTGTAGATTATACATGCATTTCTTGCATGTGTTTTTGAACTTTTAGTTGTCCATAGGTAGATTTAAATTTCTCGGCAGAGCATTGAGGAGTTCTCCTTCATTATATGCAGTCATGGAGGCCGCCATCCTCGACCTCGAATGCCTAGTTAGACCCATGGCAGTTCTTAAGGAGGGAGTGACGCCTCTGGAACCGATGGAGCCAAATCTCATTCTGCAGGCACTTGGTGTGATGTATTTGTTCTCTCTCTTTTCTCATTGTATCATAGTGTATATTTTTATGTAAACATTCACAACTTCACACCCCATGTCTTAATCTGACCGAAATAGAATCTTATCTTCATTGTTCCAACATGAAATGCTTTTCCTTTTAAAATAAATCAATAAATTTGCCATTCAACTGTGTCTAGCAATTCCATTCAAGTTTAATTTTTGTCATGAGTACGAAGGATTGAAGGTTCTGTAATCTTTCAGTCTTTCTTTGAAAAAATACGGGTCCAAGTCAATGGCGCTGCCCTTCAAAATATGCCCCTTTGATGCAGCATCCAAACGCTGCCCCGAGGTTTAGCTGATACATTTACGCTTGCAAAATGCAAATTGCAAACCATGAAAGCAAGGGCCAATTTCCAAAATAAAAAAATAAATAAAAATATAATACATATTTTTGAGGCCAAACAGCAATCTGACTTAACATTAGTTTAATTTCCGTTGGTTTCGGTTATATAAACTGAAGTTTCCCAATAAACACGGTCTTAACCAAAAGAAATGCAGGCACATTCACCAGAGAGGAACAAAAATCTCTCCACCCCTTTCACATTCTTTTTTTTTTTTTTGTTCAATAACAGGAAATTTTGAATCTGTCTAGCTTGTCTTGTCAACTTCATTCGACAATGTTAATTTGTCTGCAGACAAAAGCTCCTTTTCTTTATGTTCTAAAGTATGAATAGTTTAATTTATAGATCTTGTTTTGCAGAATTTTGATTTTAGAGAGAGAGAGAGATTTAAGGAAAAGTTGGTGTTTTTATGATCTGGGCCTTTATCATATTGTTAAAATTTTAATCATTTATAGGATTTGGATCAAATTGTGAAGAGAATAAGAAGAATGGGGGTGGATTACTATAATATATTGAAGGTGAACAAGAACGCAACAGATGATAATCTCAAAAAATCATACAGGAGATTGGCAATGAAATGCCATCCTGACAAGAACCCAAACAATAAAAAAGAAGCTGAAGCCAAATTCAAGCAGATCTGTGAGGCCTATGAGGCAAGTCTTTTTCCTTATTTTGCTTCTCTCTTTAATTGCCAATTTAAGAAAAATGAAAAAAAAAATGGTATTTGCCTGGAAAGAAACACAATGATCTTGACTCTGTTTTAGCTGAGAAGAGGGTTAAGGAAGGCGTGAAGAAGTTAATGTATTTGCTGGAAACTAAAGGCAGCAATGACAGAAGAAAAAAAGTGAGATGAATATCCGGACCAGCTTCAATCTTCAAATAGAATATACATGTAAACTTTATTGCTATTGCTTCTCTTGGCCACCAAAGGGAATTAGAGCTTGGAGTAAGAAATGATTGAATGGTAACAGAAAGGGACATAGAATAGGAATTTAATGCATTTGCAGAAACCATTTGATGTAACAGGAAATCATAGCAGCTTTTAAGCTCTTTTGAGATTGCAATATTTTGATATATTGTATTCAGGGCTAGTTAGGGCAGATTCTTGAATGGGACAGATTTACGGGTTTAATGTTTTTCTTTAGACCTGAGTTATGCTAGACTACTCCTAGCGACCTGATAACAACTATTACAGCTTTATAAGTTTGTTTAGGATTTAAATATTGATTTTCTAAAGATTTTGTTACGTCCAACTGGTTCTCAAAAGAAGTGTCTTTCTCGCCTTCTTCTGTGTTGCTTATCTTCTGGCTTAATCTTGTCTCTCCAATTACAATAATATTCTAAGCTGTTTCTACCAGAAGTTTTGTTGTTACTGTTTAAGGCTTTGTTTCTGTCAATATTCTGGAGTGCAAAGATTTCTCCAATATGTTTTATTTGCATCACTGGAAATTAATAGAGAAGGGGCTGGGTTGTCTGGCTTCAAACCAGGACTTGGTGCATATTATAGGGGCTGGTTACCACCAAGATAAAAGGTAGTTGGCCCTAGAATAGGTTGTGCTCACCGCAATCTGTTTTTCTTGTTTATTTTGAAGATTGATCAGACTTAACATGTGGCTAAATTGTACACTCTATGTTAAAACTTGTCCTGCATCAGTATAGTATAGGCAGCACTGAGAGAGGTAAGAGGTGGTATCCATCATCGTTTGAGATTTCTAGTTATTCAATATTCAATATGCCAAATTTTAATTATAATTGTTTTTCCTGCATTTAATTTGCATCCTAACAGAATTAGAGGACTAACTTTTGCCACTTTGTGTTGCTCTATATTATCATTCATGATCATGATTTCTATGTTTTCATACTGGGATTTGCTTTTAAATGGAAAAAAATGAAAATATCACATGAAGAATTAAGTTAATTCTGTGATTCAGGTCTTGAGTGACCCTCAAAACAGAGCAATTTATGATCAATATGGTGAAGAAGGATTGAAAGACATGCCACCACCAGGCAGCAGTGGACCATCATTTTGAAATGGCATTGATGGGCCAAATGGGTTCAATCCTAGAAATGCAGAGTTCTTTGGAAGTAGTCCTTTTGGATTTGGGTCATCAGGACCTGGTAGGTCTTCAAGATTCCACTCTGATGGAGGGATGTTTGGAGGATTGGGTTCAAATGACAACATTTTTCGAAGTTACAATGAGGGGACTGTGCCCAGGAAACCTCCACCAGTTGAGAGCAAGTTGCCTTGCAGCCTTGAAGAGCTGTACACTGGATCAACAAGGAAGATGAAGATCTCTAGAACTGTTGTCAATGAAGCTGGGTATGAATATTCATCTCAGAACCATGCTTGTCATGTTGAATTCGTTTCTTTTCTTAAATCTCCTACATGAGCTATCGCTTTCTGAGTTTGATTTTCCATAAATGCCCACATTTTAATCAAGAAACATCTTATGCCATTATCAAAGATTCTCAATTGCATTTTCTTGACTGAATTTTATTTCAATAAGCTCAGAAACATGGTTTTATGTTCCAAGGATGGAACTGATGAAACTCTAATTACATTAGTTGAAACTTTCATAAAAATTGAAACCTTTCTGTATAACTTTTAGTTCCTGCAGGTTGACAGCCAAAGCATGCATTTTTATGGAACTAGAGAGGGGAAAGAAAGAAAAAATGTTTCAAATCGCGTGTAGGCTGATGTGTTTAATTCTTTACTGCTTTGTGGAATTTTGTTTTCTGTGCATGCATTTTGTTTTCATGCTGAACCTACTAATTCGATTGAGATATTCTGGCCTTAATTAACTGGTTGCAACTGCGATGTTGTGATAATGGCATCATCATTGGTTGCTTTACATCTATCTAGAGCTAGAATTTCTATCTTTAATTTTGCTGATTGAATAATAATTTGAAACCTGGTAGGCGACAAGTACAAAAATCAGAAATATTAACCATTGATGTCAAGCCAGGGTGGAAGAAGGGAACGAAGATTACTTTCCCGGATAAAGGAAATGAGCAGCCAAATCAGTTTCCAGCAGACCTTGTATTTATAATCGATGAAAAACCCCATGATTTTTACAAAAGAGATTTCAACGACCTTGTTGTCAACCAAAGGGTGTCCCTAGCAGAGGCACTTGGGGGCACAACAATCAATCTCGTCAGTCTTGATGGCCGTCAATTGTCATTGCCTGTAACTGATATTATCAACCGTGGTTATGAGCTTGTTGTTGCCAGGGAAGGAATAATGCCAATAGCAAAGGAGCCTGATAATAGGGGTGATCTTAGGATCAAATTTGATGTGAAGTTCCCTACAAGGTTGACATCAGATCAACGAGCTGGACTGAAACGAGCTCTAGGGGGTTGAAGTAGGAATATTTCGTATGCTCCAGCCATTATTTTCAGACAGAACTCAGTTACCAAAGATGTCTCTGATATAGAAATTGAGTGTCATCTTGGTTCTTGGAAAGGGATAGTTGCCTTGCCTGTTTATCACAGTTTTACTGTCTGATCATCTTCGGTGCATTGTATTTGTCTCAATCAACATCTTCCAATACATTTTGGCCGAAAAAGAAAAAATCCAATCCCTATAACCTAATATTTTCTTCTCTTTTCTTTTTCTTTTTTCCATTATTTTCTTTCCTGATTTTTTGTTGTATAATTCTTATATTCTTGAGAGGTAGGGGTTTGAAATTTTCATTGTTGTCCTTTATTCTTTATTTTGTGTCTTGTTATCTTCACATCACATCCAAGGTGTATCCGCAACATGTATAATCATTTTTCTTATTTGTTAGTTTTAGAAGTGATCAGATACGGATTTATACAAGGATTGTGATCAATTCCATGTTTGAACTTGAATTTCTTGCTTTTTTTTTTTTTCACAACGGGTATAAATTGAATAACCAGGGAAAAAAAATATCAGGAGAATTTCACCCTACTGCTTCCCCTGCTCTCAGGCCTCAGTCCCAAAATTGAAAGTTAAAATAAAGACATGCTTACGTGCGTAAGCAAGAGACCCCAAAAGAGGCTTAGAAATTCAATCAATTTTGTTTTTCTGTTGGGAGAGCGGAACATAAAACTGTCCATTATTGCATTTATGTTATATAAAATATAAATAATTTTATTTATGTTATATAAAATATAAATAATTTATGTATTTTTATTATATTTTATATAAAAATTATGTATTATAATTTATATCGATATTAAAAATATAAAATAATTTTTTTTATTTTATCAAATTTATATATAATTTTTACTAAATTTTTAATCTGCATCGTAGTTTTTTTATCATATCTTCTTACTGTATTTTTATATCACTGGCTTTAATGGAATGGAATGGAAAGAGGATGCTGTCCGAGTGGCTTTTTGGGTGCTTAGGTTACTTTTGCTGTGCGTAACGAGAGTTACACTGAAGCATACAAGTGGTCCGGTAAGAATCGAACCCACCTCCAGATGTTCCGAAATTTCATGCAAACGTAGTTTCAAAGAAATTTTACCGTTGAATTCTGGATAATTGAATTGCTTGAAAAGTGGTTTTGTTAAAAGCCCATTTTACATTAGAAGCACTACTATTAATTAAATAAAAGGATGTGATGAAAAGATATCATCAAGTTTACAAAAGCTAGAGGAACGCTTAACAAAACAGCAACATAAAACACTGGATTTACAAAAGATCGAAACTAAGAGCCTCTACTGTTGGGATCATCCTGTCGCCAGGCAGGTTGCCCAGTCCCTACTGCTGTCCTGTAAAATTGAGCTCCATTAACAAGTTGTTGGCCTTGGGAACAAGGCGGAGGAACCCACCAAGTTCCCTGCTGCCATGACTGGGCAGCGTTCTGTTGACCTTGAACATGCATTGTTGGTAATGCCTGGTGGGGTAATTGCAGAGATGCATGCATTGGCTGTGTAAACCTATGAACTTGGGTTGTTGGGGGCTGCAGCTGCTGCTGATGGGTTGTTTGAGGCTGCCATTCCGGTATATCATCATCATCATCATTCCACTTTTGGATTGAAACCCCTAAGGGCGCATTAGTATTTGGTTGTCCATACTTTTGTATGAGCTCTCTCACTTGATCAACAGGGCAAGATGATGTTTGAGAGCGTAAACGAGAAGAGGCAATTCCTACTCGCTGGGATTCGTGGCCAGTGGGGTATTGTCGGCCCGAAGGATTTGAACCACCAGAGAAATTAAACTCAGGTAGGTCATCTTCATCCCGGGATATGGCAGGGCCGAATCCCGGGGGTACATCGTCTTCGTCTTCAGCAGGGGTTTTGGAACGGAGAGGTCCACCATGGGAAAAAGTAAGTTTTGATGGGGAATTAAGCATATTCATGTTAGTAATATCTTTTTCTTGCTGTCTCCTAGAAGAAACGTGTTGCTTTTTTGAGTGTTTAGAAATTAATTGAGCTCTTCTCCATACAACGACACCAATTAGACCATTATCAATAGCATTAAGAGCCTCAGGTTGGTCCCTTGAGAGGATCTTGCTGTGCATTTTAAGTGTTTTCGCATGTGATGGGCAAAGATAAAGTTCAAAACCGGAGGCAGGCTCAGCAAAACCCACTCTCCCATCCAAAATATATGAATCAGCTGCCTGCACATGGGCACATCTAAGTTAACTATCAGATGAGACCAAAACAAGAATAATGGAACTGCAAAATTTTTCTACAGTTTCTCACCTCAACAAGGCTCTCACGCTCAGTCTCGGTTGATCCCTCCTTGCAAACAAAATGAACCACCTGCAAAACATTTCATGAATTACATCAGTCTATTAACTTCCGACTTATAATTGGAAGCGCTTACAAACATAAATGGCATTAAACAACAAATTTCTACCCCGCACCCACCCACCCACACACAAAATTTCTTTTTCCAATTAGATTGAATTATTCAATATTAACAGATTGTTATGTCCTTGTCATGTCCCCTGGAAGATGAATCTAGAAATATTGGCAACATTTCACAATTCGTTCCTAGAATTCTTGTCGTATAGACTTCAATTGTATTCAAGCAGACTTTGTTTCCAGTTATTCATTGCCCAACAAGCAATCATTTATGTAATGGTCAATCAGATGAATCATCCTCCAAAGTTTTCATTCCTACTTAGACCAGACACCGGGAAATTGCAGATGAGGTGGTCAATCTTTCAATAAATCCCTGTTTCTCCTTGTTTCATGTTAACCCAAACTATGGATCTTAAAGTTCTATCTCTTTGTCTTTTCTTTTTTACTCTCTGACTTGTTTCCCAGTGACCCAAAGCTTATCAAGTTCCATAAATGAGATTGACCCTACACTCATCAAAAATAAATCAATGGAAGACAAAAAATAAGATAAGAAAGTGTATTTTTTTGTTCCTCCAATTTTATTTTTTTTTTGGGGGGGGTGGGGGGGGGGGGGTTGACAAAATATGGCAGTACAGGAATTTACTACAATTTAAATGAACTTGACATACCATAACAGCACGACTCCGTGACATGGGAAGCTCTTGGAGGAACTTCTCAAACGCATCAAGCCTGACTCTGCCCTTGATTTCAAGACAGCTAGGCCAATCCTTTGTAGAAGCTTTTTCACCACTGCAGTAGGAAAAATTGAATCAACAAACCTTAACATAAAAAAAACTTTAATCTCCTTTTAAAGAACATTAAAATTCAATGAAAATTACTCAGCAAGTCAGAATCTTTTGCAGCACCAAACCATCCAAAAATTAAAAAAATAAATTAAAAAAAAAAAAAACTGACCTAGCAAAATAGTTAATCACATCAAAAGATACTGGGTCTTCCAGCAATTTATTTAAAACTTCAACCTAGAAGGAATCATGCCTCTTCACTATAACACATTACAATCTTTTATAGCATCCAAAAGGCTGTTCCTTGGTCAATATACAGATTTTCCTTAAACCAAACCACAACTTATAGCTCCATGCTTCAACGTATGACATTTATCTACCTACATTATGGATCTCCAAGCTGCCAAAATCTAAAGAGCTCATCCTCGCTTCATGAAGAACTATTGTTTGACATTGTCCTCAAAATACTTGGTCATCTAAAGTAGAACTAAGCTCTCTATTATATCCACCCTAGTTATGGTTTAAACATTAAAAATCTAAGAGATTTAAGATATTGCAAACTCCACAACTTTCCCCAATTCATTTCTGCAAGATTCAGAGGAAAAAAACACCATCATCAAAGTTGAGTTTATAACAACTTAAACTTAAGCCCTGTCTGCTCATCAACAAAGCACATGATTTTAATTAAACATATGCATGTACATGTACCAATATACAGATAAGATAAAAGGAGCGTCATGATAATTAACAGACAAACTGAGACAGAAAAACAGATGCAGGCCAAAAATGGATCGAAAACAAATTATGTTCAGTAAAAAAAAGCTAAGAAAGACATAACCTTGCATAACATGCCACTTGTAAAACATACCTTTTAAAAATACAAATGACAGAGGTCATGGCTGTGATAGTCAACTGGAGCATCCCTTCCCAGACATGTTCACCCTTCAAATTGGCTACAGAAACAATAGCTCCTGATTTTGTAGGAATTTCATTCGGCTTAACATCTGAATCAGATTTCAGATTAATTGCATCAATACTTCCAAGTTTATCAGGCATTGCATCCACAGGATCTTGTGAAGCTCGACCAGAAGACTTTGGGTCGGAACCAGCTTCTGAGTCATCCTTATCAGAAATGGATGTTGCTTTTCCAGCATCACCAGGTAAATTCTCAAACGGTGGCTCTGAATTAAGAGATTGCATGAACTCATTAAGGGAAACAATTGGAGGAAGAAAATCTGCATCCTTCAATTCATCTTCTCCCATCAACCCTTGCATTGGATCAGGTCCCTCGCTTGAAGGAATGGTAATGGTAAGATGTGGGTCCTCTAGATTACTCTTTTCACCTGCAGTATCCGACTCGTCTTTCTTTCCAACAGCTTTACCAGTTGTAGGAGCCTGTTTTGCCTCGGTTTTTGGTCGCCGACTAATTGAAGTTCCAGCAGAAACTTCCACTGAAGCACTGTCAGTTTGTTCAACCTCCACTTGAAACTCACCCTTATGTGTTTTCCTCACTAAACGTCTAATGTCAACTTCTATATCAGGCAAAACTACCATTTGAGCAAGCTCTTCTGCTTTTGCTTGTCGCCACTGTGAAAGCTCTTTAGAAGCTAGTTCCTCAGCACTCATAGAACATAGTTGTTCAGGAGGAATTTCCCCAGACACAACTCTTTCTCTGAGTTCAGGGTTATTACGATCCTTCAAGTTAAACAATAGAGACCTGCCCTTCTCTTTATACTTTTTATTCACACCTCCAAATAATTTAAAGAGTTCTGCTTCAATTTGATATGCCAACTCTTGTGGAGACTGTGACGATTGTTCTAAATCATCTTTTCCCACCTTTTCATTATCTGCATTTTGTTTCCCAAACGTTTCAATTTCCTCTTTCTTTGCTGCATCTGTTTCAAGCTCTAATAGCCAAGAAAGGCCATTTCCCTGCAAAAGTTCATCTCTTGCAAAAATGTTGTCAGTAAATGGAACGTCCTCATCAGGCAAAAGATTACTCAATTGAAATTGCTGCTTATCACATTGCAAAGTTTGTGTAACATCACTAGTATTTCCATCACAAGCACCATCCCGATTGGAAAGCAATAATCCCTGAGGTTTTGCAGATATAGAACGGACAGCATCAGAATTACCAGAATTAGAAACAACAGAGTTAGAATCCTCTTCCATCTTCCCTGGGGAATGTGCAGCTTCACCATTTGAATTATTCTCTACCATTGCATTTTCACCTTGCTGCTGAGAGACCAAGGCCAGGGCACCAGCTAAAGATTCCCGCATTTTGGACCTTACAGATTCAAATGACTCAGTCTGAACCTTTGCTGATGCCAACATCTGGGCAGACTGATTCCTTGAAGCTGATGACCCAGATTTATTTGGAACTGATCTCTTATTTGATGCTGGAGAAGGCTGTGATCCTGGTGAGTTGGAAACAGCCTGCATCTGAACAGTTCTTTTACTAGGTGCAGATATTGGTTGCAACCAAGGTCTGTGTTCCATTTGTGCCACTCGTTTGTTCGACAATGATAACTTCTGTGGAACAGAATTAGGGGAAATTGGTTCCATCGGTGCCTTACGCTTGTTCAAAGTTGGTAATTGATGTGCTCTCAAGCTATCCAACATGGTGGGAATTATTCCTCCTATTGGCTTATTAGACATTAAATACTGTTCTGATAGCTGAGTATATGCCTGAGATTCGATATGTCCACCTTGCTGGTCAGGAATTGAGGATAACTGTGACCCAAGATCATTAGTCACAGATCCCATCAATCCTATTGGCATATTTGAAGGTATCTGCTGCTGTAAAGATTCATTGGTCCCAAATCCCATCAATCCCATGGACATTGCTGAATCCAATTTGCTGGAAATGGGTTCCATCTGAGCCATTTGGTTACCAGGTATAGATAATTGCTGAGATACCAGATCATTGGACATAGTAGATCATCACGGTAAAACACGTATACAAATACCACTGCATTGTAAATTAGTAAATAAATAATCAACCCATTATTACTTATTAACTTATGTTCACTTCATCAATGAAACAAAAGAATGAATATGCAAATCAAGCTCCAATATTAAGAAACATATGAAATGGTGATTTAACTTTTCCACAATATTGAATTATTAAAACTAATATAATCCAAGTCCAAAAATTGAGAAAGACTAATAAACAAAAGAGAACGTTAACTAATAATAATAATAATAATAATAATAATAATAACAATTGCAATGCTTTTAAAACACAAAATTAAACAAATCGATTAACATTTATTTCAGATTAAAAACGAGATTTAGCGAAAAATAAATAACTAGTCATTCTTGAGATAATTAGTAGATAGGAAAATAATAATAAAAATGGCCATGCAAAGTCCATAATCATCAAAAAGGAAGCAGAAAATAAAACAGAAAAGAGTGAAAGTCGAAAGGAAAGAAAACCTATTCAAATCTCAAACCCTAAATCAAAACAAGTAACCGAATTTTCAGGAAAGCGATTGATTGAAGAGAAGCTCTAGGGTTTCGAAGTTAGGAAGCTTACCGGAACCGAGAGCAGCAGAGCAGAACTGAGCTGAGAGAGAGAGAGATTATGAGGGAAAGCTTGATGAAAACTCTTAGCAGCTTTGTTTGGTTAGGAAGAAATTGTGAACCCTAAATAAAAATACGGTAATACTTAAAGATTAGAGGCAAAAGGGTGCAATCAATTAAATTTTAAAATTTTTATTTTAAATTAAGCAAAATTTTAATGTTTATTTTTACTTAATTAAATTCTATTATGAAAATATGTATTAACGATTATTTAACTTTTACTTAATAAAAATAAATATTTAAAATTTATTTAATTACAATAACATAATAAAATTTAAAATAATTATTTAATTTTTGATCGACTGCCATTTTTAACCTTTAAAGATGCCGACTTTCTCTTTTACGAGTCTTATTATTTTTATCTACCGTCGAAGCGTTAAAACGGTAGTATTTTCTAGACTTACAGGTGGGCCGTTCATCCTCTAATTGGGACCCACTACAATTTCCAGCCCACCTGTGTCGGTTCTGCAAATCAGATCGAACCAAGCATAGACCTGACCCATTTCTTGAATGGGCCCGATTAAGATACTTATCAAATCCAAATTCACAGTCACCGATAGGTAATTAAGATATTTATCAAATCCAAATTCACAGTACGGATTGCTAATTACAAATTTTTTTATTTTTATTTGGATTTATATATCTACTCATAGTAAATCACAAGAAAGGAACTATAATTTTAAATACAATATAAAACATAACATGAGAACAATATAAAATATGATACAATTTAAAATTTTAACATAAATATATATAATTTTAAATATACAAAAATAAGAAATATATTTCAAATTTAACATGCTTACGTAATAATTTCTTAGTTTACATATGTTTAACATGAAATAAACAAATAAAAATACACGAATTATCTTGTTCCCATCTTAAGAAAGGAAAAGAAAGATAGAAGAAAGAGTTCAAAATTTTCTGCAATTTCATTGCTTTTAGGTCCCCAGCACGAAGCTTTTTGTATGCCAAAACCTAAAATTCTTGCAAATTCTGCAACATTCTGTTATATATAGTGTGTATTACATAGTAGTAAATCAATTCCATTCTGATTGCCAACATAGTAAGAAATTTTACAAGGCCATTGCACAATGTGGCTACAACAATATTGGTGATTGAAGAATTGCCGTGTGTATGTCTAACAAGCTACATCTCACCCCGTAAGACAACCATAAAGAATGGAAGGGACGACCACCCAACACATAAGAAGAAAGATCATCAAACTGTACGCAGCTGGACATACAAATACCAATTCCAAGGGATCAATATGTTATATCACTATATTTTTATTACATTATTTATTAAAACATAGAGCTGGTATAACTGTTGCCCACTCTTCTCTCACCTCGTCGTTGGTTATCGTGTGCTCCAGAAAGTGAGCTCAAGATGCTGGTGCTCGTTCCCGAGATGGCGTCCAATATGTTCTCACCAACCTCATTCTTGCAAAGAGGACAGGAAGCATTGATCTTAAGCCATTTGTCCACACATTCCTTGCCCATAAAATGAGAACACGGCAACTCCCTCAGCTCATCATTGTTTGCATATTTTGCCAAACAAATGCAGCAGACCTATACAAAATCCCAGCAGTGCCATTGTATCAGTATGTACAGGAAGAAGAAAACATTACAAAAAAAGAAACCATCAACTTATAAGGCCTTATTGATCATTCTTAAGTAAATTTAGCACTGCTGAAGACCATCACAACTTTAATTGAGCCTTTACAGTAATCACATAATCAAACAGAAAGCACAGTCTTATTGGTCACTGAGAGCTCAGATGGTTAAGTATAATGGCAAATTGCGTAGCCAAGCCGTTCCAGAACACAAAAAAATGGTGCAGGTTCAAAATAGTTGAATACTGAAGGAAAAAAACAGTGACGTAAGTAGAGAAATGGGCATGTTAACACAAATGCACAAGTGCACACATAAAGATATTGTTTATGACACCTTGAATTATGAAATTTTCAACTCAAAACATGCAAAAAGAGATCAGTGCTTTTTATTAACTGGACTATAAGACATGCCACTGAATTATCAAGCAATAATCAAAAGAAACACTCACCGCATCTTCTGCAGAGATGAAGCGTTCCTTTTCCGTTCCGGCAGCCACGACACCACCCTCACTGGCACCTGAGTTGATTTCCCTACCATCTGCATTCCTATTTTTCTTCACCTTAAACTTGTAAGTTGGTAAAGCATTTATGGATTCAGGTGTGGCCCCTCTGGCCTGTGATGGATCCTCTCTAAATCCAAGGACAGAAATAATACAAGGCAGGCAACAGCAGATCGTAGCACATAGAATGAAGGGCATTGCATATCCAATACAGCTAAACGTAAGAAAAACTATACATAACCTGCAAACAAAAAAGATACAAAGAACGATGAACTCTCAGAAAAGGTACAAATCAAAAGTTAATTGCACAACATGCAACTAGGCAGTGGCCAGTACCTGTACATGTTAGGAGCCTCACTGGCAGATGAATGCCCACCAAAGATCCAGACATTGCCAACCACAAACCAAACAGCAAAAAAGCAATCTAAAGCCATTTTGAAGTATTCCACTAGCGCTTTAATTCTGCAGGACAAAAATCAGCTGATTGGCAACTAAAGGCTACTGACCATTCTAACCACCAACAAGGTAAGCATGAATCTTTGTCAAATTTCAGTAGCATTTATCCCCCCCAAAAAAAAAGTAAAAGCAATTTTAACACAATGGGAGGTAAGTATGAATCTTTGTCAATTTTAACTCAAAGAAGCAATCAGTACATCAAATAAACAGAACTTAGAAATGTCTATTACTCCCCGCTTTTTTTATTTCTCATTTCAGTAACAATAAGAAAACTGTACCTTGCACTTGTTACTCCCACATTTTGGCCACCTCTAGGAGACGTAGTTGCAGTACGATGATCAGCCCCATCAGAAGTCCTTGTAACAGAGAGAGATCCGGCAGGGACATTAACGTGTGAAGTGTGGCGATGTTGAGCTGAGTCTTGCTCAGAAGCCTGGTTACGATGACGATAACGCCAATAAAGAAGAGGGAGGGTTGCTACACATCCAGATGCATAACCCACAATCCACGCAAACAATGGTGCACGGGGATGCTCATTCCTTGAAAAAGACAGGACAACAATAGATGCTACAATCTGGCTCACTGTAAGAACTAATTCAATAGAAATCCACAAACCAGAATTCAATGGACTCCTCCGGCGACGGGCATCCCCTCTCCTTACAGAAGATGAGGTTCTTGAGTTTGAACCATTGGAAGAAGATGTTGAAGGTTGAGAAACTAGCACTCTCGCACTTGTAGAAGGTCTGTCTTCACGCTGCAAAACATCCAACCCATTTGAAGTTGTTTCATGAGACAAGTTTGATGAGGAAATATCACCACTCCTTGGTATGTCAATAATATGTTCACTAAAGTTCTCTGATCGCTCCATTAATAATGGACAAGTGTCAGTTTGATTTTCAGAATGCAGTTCCGAAGAGGGAACATCCATCTAAGTTCATCAACACAACCAGAAATGATGAATGCATAGAAACCTAAAACAAGGTTACTAGCTTTTTGTACCACTTCTTAACTGTGCTGAAACAATGGGCACTTTTTTCCCTGGGATTTGTCAAGTTCTGATGATTGACTTAAATTATTTGGCACCGCAAGATGTGGAAAAATTAACAATCCCTGTTCCGTTGAGAATGAAAATCCAACTAAATCAGAATAAAAATATCAACTTTCTCTCCCTTGAGGACATGAATATACAATAGTTGCTAAGCATAAATCAAACTGAAAGGGAAAAAGACATATTGAACCCATTGATTTTAATTATAAGAACCCACAGAAACCTAAAACCCCTAAATCCCAACCAAGTGAACTAACGAAAGGGCTTGGCTCCATTGAGTTTTCAAAACCTAATTAATAAATGAAAAAGAAACATATATAACCAAAGTATACTCTCTGAAATATAAACAGGCAATAACAACTAACATAAAAAAAATTTACAAATTACCATTCACACAATAAATTTAAAAGACAGAAAGTAAAAAATTAATTGGTGGCATAATAAAACTGAAATAATCAAGAATGTTTAGATGCATTATCACTCATGTCCAGAATTGTTTACTCTCTCATGTTGTAAGTGTAACCCTCAAACTGCACAGTAGAGCAATGACATTAATGTGGATTTGCCTTAAGTCATCACATCCCCTTTCATTTTGATTTGTTTAAAGAAATTAAACACTTACCAGTCCCCTCAACCAAGCAAAGGCCTTGGACACTTTCTTATGACAAATAAGAAATTTATGGGTGAATTCAGACTTAAAGTATACATATCCAGTGCTCTTTTGAAAGATCAGCTCAAAAAAAGCGGAGAGGGGGAAAATCCAAAACAAGTTCTTCAAAAATCTTAACCAACACCATTGACAACAGCTTCACTCTTCGAAGGAAAGGAAGTTAATTTTGTTTCAAGAACTAAACTTTGGACCATAGTCAACACCACCTCCCTCACCTACCACAACCCAAAAAGTCCGATTCCTATCATTTCTTTTTCTTGATTTCTTCTTCAATGGGAAAAAACCATTTCCAAAACAATTAACGAAATCTATTCAAATCAAAGTCGGTAGCAACCCTATTAAGATCGAATCAGTACCTTGCCCGTCACAGATTAACACTGAGTTCCTAGATCAACACGAAACTCGGTTCCTACTTAGCCGCAAAAGGTGGAAACGTTGACTAATATTCAAAAACGATCAAACCCAGTAAAATTTTGAGAACAGTAAACCATCAATCCTCCCTAAACGAACCTGCCAAAAATACAACACCCAATCTTAAAAAAAGCAAGGAAAACAAAACCCCCAATAAACTTTGACATACACGAATGAACAAAAGAAGTGAACATACAGGAAAGAGAAGATCGTACCATGGAGGATTGAACTGAGGAGACGAGATTATCGACGGACGGAGCTGAGACGTAGCCGGAGAAGAAGACACCGGCGATGTTCGCAGAGTGAAAGAGCTGCTGCTTTTTGTTCTTTTGAAAGGTGTGTCGAGTTCAAGCGCGTGGGGCTTTGTTTTGTTGGGTATTCCTTTATTGGGAGATAATAATAAAAAGTGTCGAGGATTGGAGTTCTTTTGTTTGCTTGGATGGGTTGCCCTGGAATATTATTAACAATCACAACTTTCAAATTTCAAACACTTTGGGTGGCCTTTTTTTTGTTTCATTTTCAATTTTATATTATGTTCATGTAAATTTATTTTTATTCTAATTTGTACAGAGATTTAATAAATATAAGTAATTTTTGTACGCGTAATTTTTTAAAATTAAAAAATAAAATTTATTTTTTTTATTTTATATGTTTATTTAATTTTTATAAATATATATTTTTTAAATAAAAATATATTATTTTTAATTACTTTAAAAATAAAATTTTATATTAATAAATAATTTAATTATTTATTAAATATATAAGATACCGATATAGATAAGTGACGAATATTATATTACTTACTTTCATCCTTATAAAAATTTTAAAATTTTATTTATTTTTGGCTCAACCTCGAATTTAATATTTATTTTTACTTGAATCAAAATAAAATTTTCTATAGATTACGAATAAGAATGACAACCTAGCTTTTTTCAATTATTTAAAATTTTTTAAACGTTTCACTTACAATTTTTAAATTTTCTTATTATAATACTATAATTATTCAATTATAATAAAAATTATATATAAATTATTACTTATAAAAGTAATTTTTATAGAAAATTTTAATAAATTATACATAATTCTAAATTATAATTTATTAATTAGAATATAATGATGATAAATAATATGATCCTTTAAAATTTTTTCCTTATACCAAGTTGCTACCTACAAGATTGAATAATTTTTTTTTGTTATTATATCAGGAGAGCAAAGCTTTAATACTTTTAATATCTCATCAAATATCTTTAACTATTAAATTAAATGTTTGGAGATGAATAAATCTTTTTATATATTAAAATTTAAAATTTAAAATTATTAAATATTATTATTAAAATAATTATATAAATCAATTAAATTTAAATTTAAAGTCAAATTATCTTATTTAATAATTTATTATGTACAATTGTTTTGATTTTTGGACTATAACCCTTGCCACTCATCACAATTAGTCTATTTTGAAAATGTGACATTACAATAATCAAATATATGCAAAAATAAATTTTTCTTTCTCAAATTTATCATATTAATTTTTTTATAAAAATATTTTAATTAAATTATAAAAAAAAGTTAGTAACATACTTTTATTTTAATGTTAATAAAAAGAATAATGCATTTCCATTTGTAGTATTAAATAGAATTATCCTAATTTTAAATGAAAAAAATTCAAATTATAAGCAACATAACATTATAACCCCTAAGTATTTGAACATAACCAAATAAAAATTTTTAAATATGTACATAAAAAGGATTTGAAAAATAATATAATAATAAATTTTTAATATCCAAAAAATAATAATTTTTAAAAACAAATAAAAAGAAGTGTATTATAGGTGGTCATCCTTACCAATACACATGACCACAAATCGAACCAATCATATCCAACGGTCAAAAAACACGTGTCACCGCCTGATGAACGTGAACCATCCAGAGCATGCATAAGCAAACAAAAATAAAAAGAAACGCAGGAAAATAATTGTACTTTCTTTTCCATATAAACTATTCTTTAAAAAAGGCGCATGCTTGCAGTTTCCGAGAAAATCCCACAATTTTCTCATCAACCGAGAAAAAAAACTTTTCTTCCTTTCTTTGTCTTCAATTACAACAACAGAGATTCCAAAGAAACTCGACCTTGATAGTTAGATAGATCTCCACCTTAAAAAATTTTCAAAAACCAACAACAAGAAGCTTTCTCGCTCTCTCTTTAACTTTTTTTCTTTTTTCTTTTTCTTTCTCTTTCTTTCTCTCCAAACATCCAGTTTCCCACTCTCTCACTCTCTCAAAATCTCTTCGGGTCTTTCGGTACCAAAGATTCATATGTTACTTTGCAATTAATTCTCTCTTTCTCTTGGAATACTGAGATTCGGATTCATCGTCTAAAATTATTTCTCTTTCTTTTTTTCATATCTTTTTTCCTTTTTTTTTTGTTTTGATTGATATTCGTGAAATTTTATTATTATTATTTTTAATTTGGGGAGCAGAATGTTAGTGATTGAAAAAGGTTTCTCCTTTTTACCGTTTTTAGGGAATCCGTTTCAATGCTTTCAATGTTGATCGAAACGCGTTTCTTTCTCGATCTCTCAAAAAGATCTAGGGTTAGGGTTTCCTTCTTTCTTTCTAACATTGTTTTGTTAATTTATCAAATTAGTCCTTGTGGCTGTTTTAAGATTTAAGATTCCTTTTTATCCTCAATTTAAAATTTCCTCTTGTTTTTAAATTTTATCCCTCTAAAAATCTACAATGCTAAGGCAAATTTTCAGTAAACTCCCACGAAAATCCGGGAAATCGGATTCGCCGGGGCTAGCTCGGTCAAACTCATGCACGACAGCTGGGTCAACCCTACAAACTCAACGATCCAACAGTTTGAACTCGGGCTCTGGCCGCCCCGGTGCTACAAAACGGACATCCTCAGCCGTTTTTCCGGCGAGTGTTGTGGCGGGAATCGAGCCGTTGTTGCCATTCAAAGACGTGCCAAATTCGGAAAAAATGAATCTTTTTGTGAGTAAAGTCAGCCTTTGTTGTGTAACTTTCGATTTCACTGACCCGACTAAAAATTCAATTGAAAAAGATGTTAAAAGACAAACCTTGCTCGAGTTGTTGGATTTTGTGGCTTCTGGGTCTGTTAAATTTAGCGAACCTGCGATTTTAGCTATGTGTAGGATGTGTGCTGTGAATTTGTTTAGAGTTTTCCCGCCTAATTATCGGTCTGCTAGTGATGGTGGTGAAAATGATGATGATGAGCCGATGTTTGATCCGGCTTGGCCACATTTGCAAATTGTTTATGATTTGCTGCTTAAGTTTATCACCTCTTCATGTCTTGATGCGAAAGTAGCTAAAAAGTATATAGATCATTCCTTTATTTTGAGAATGCTTGACTTGTTTGATTCAGAGGATCCAAGGGAAAGGGATTGTTTGAAGACTATACTGCATAGGGTTTATGGCAAGTTTATGGTTCATAGGCCGTTCATTCGGAAGGCTATAAGCAATATATTCTATCGGTTTGTTTTTGAGACGGAGAGACATAATGGGATTGCAGAGTTGTTGGAGATTTTTGGGAGTATAATCAGCGGGTTTGCTTTGCCGTTGAAGGAGGAGCATAAGATCTTCTTGTGGAGGGTTTTGATTCCTCTCCACAAGCCAAAAACTTTCGGGGTTTACTTTCAACAAATGTCTTTTTGTGTTACTCAATTCATTGAGAAGGAGCCCAAGTTGTCCAGTACAGTGATAAGGGGGTTGTTGAAGTACTGGCCCATAACAAACAGCCAGAAGGAGGTGATGTTTCTCGGTGAGTTGGAAGAGATTTTGGAAGCAATTAACATGGTGGAATTCCAGAAGGTTATGGTTCCATTGTTCTGGCGGATTGGCTGTTGCATTAACAGTTTCCACTTCCAGGTATTTTTCTCTATTCACTGAGATATTCTCTTTCTATCTTATTTGCTGACATTAAATGCAGTAATTTTCTTCAATTATTCATCTCATGTTTAGTATGTTCTTATATTTCTTTTCTCCAAGCTGGTGCATTGACTTGGATTTTCTCTTTTCAACGAATTCGGATCATGCTCTGCACCTGCTATTTCACTTCTAAACTTGCTATCATATTGCATTAAAAGTTCATCTGTTAACATTTTGAGAAATGAGGAAGGGGACTGACACTAAGCTAGCCTACACCATCGTGGTTGACCAGAAGTGAGCATAATTCTAGATAACTTGGGGGTAGGCCCTGATTCAATGACTTATATAATGTCAAAACTGGTGGTTGATAGCCGCGTGATTGGCTTTAATGAGATTGAGCTTATGTGCATCTCTATACTTTAATCTAAAGTAAACCTTACTCAGGTCAACTTTGGGGCCTGGCCTTAGTTTGGGGGGACTTCCTAATGTCTTATAATGAGGGTTGGGAATGTTATGGTTCTGCAGCAATTAATGCCACGTCACAACTGGTAAATATCCAACAAGACAGTTAATTAATATTGTATCTCAGAAGCTATGAGCTAGTTCTCAATCTTTTACAACAATAGGGTCGTCTTATCTAATGCAACCAACCAAACAATAATTGACTAAAAGTTGTCTATCAACTATCTTAATAGGGGTTGGTAGCCTTCTTGTCAGCTTTAATGACAATAAGCTTGCTAATGTTGTCATCTCTGACCAAAAGTGTTCAGTTTTCGCCATGAATTACAAATTCCTTTGTTTGTTTACTTGTAACAATGACCTTTGCTCAAGGCCTGTAAGGTGGTGACGGCTTTCTACTTGTTTTTGGCCTTCTTATTGACTTGCTGCTTATGTTGTTGGCTTGAATGATGTGAAGTGCCAGCATGTCTTTGTTTTTAATTAAGTGATCGAGCTACTTGGTATCTCTGAACTCTTGGCTAGTGTACATTTCCTCATTTGCAAAATGGGTATAAATTTATGGCAAATAAAGGCTGCCCTTACCTTGGATGATTTTGCTGTGGACTAAATGCCATGAGCTTCTTCCGATGTTGAGTGTTTAACTGTTGTTTTAGTTGGGTAATCTATGTGCCCTTTTTTTTATGCTCATCATAAGATTCAGTCATTTCACTTGATTGCTCTAATTAATGCAAGATGTGGAAAAGATGATTATAAGTTTTATTCCAATTAATCTGCTTGTTTCAGGTGGCTGAAAGGGCACTTTTCTTTTGGAATAATGATCAAATTGTAAACTTAATTGCACTTAATCGGCATGTGATTTTGCCCATAATACTTCCAGCCTTGGAAAAGAATTCCCAGAACCATTGGAACCCGGCAGTGCTCAACTTAACTTTAAATGTCAGAAAGATGTTCATGGAGATGGATGATGTGCTGTTCATGTCCTGTCATACTCACTTTAAGGAGGAAGAGGCAAAGCTGAGCATATTAGCTGAGAAACGGAAGGAAGCATGGGAGCTATTAGAAAATGCAGCCAGTCTCCAGCCAATAACTGGAAATACTGCTGTTCTCGTAACTCCTTTGGCAACATCAATCACCTGTTAACTGCTTTCCTGAACTGTTGTTGTCCCGAGCTTTTTGATTTTTCCTTTTCTGTCCCACCTTTTATAAGGATGGGAAATGTTTTTAAACGGCTGCTGTTAGTGGTGGTGGGATTTTTTTTGGATGTTCCATTGGCAGCCGTTTCCTGTAACTTGTTTTAATGTATTCTCCAATGCCACTGTGTGGGATGTTAGTTGCTTCCTTGGAAAAGTCATGGGAAGGGCCATGCCATGTAGTGGATTATACTTAATAGTTTATTTGAAAGACTTTGACAAGGCATATAAGAAACTCCCAACTGCTTACATATGCTTACATATATGGTAACTTGCTTCTTAAATTCGAAATGTGATGGCTTATTATTGGTGGGGTTTGATTGTCATATTAACTACATCACTGATTCTCTTTATCATCTAATTTGATTTTAAAGGTTGCCTGTTGTGAACAGCTGTAGATAATGATCTCTCCCCCTAATAATTTATCATGGTTGTGGGTAAATGCTGGACTTGAATATATTAGTAGTCTGGAATTTGATTGTTATTGGTTTGGATTAAATGAGATGTGGACGTAACATATGATGTTCTTGAGATTTTTCTTGAGAGTGATTAGATTGTAGTAAAATGATTAAACTTGGTTTAAGAAGGTTCAAGATCCATTCCTTGATGGTAAATTTCTGTCTACTCCTTTCACTTTCATTTTACAGGCAAAGGTAGTTATTGATATGTTTAGCTCAAATGATGCTTAGTGATGATGACAGAAAGATCTCAGGTTCAAGTTGGACGGATAATTTTACTTCATACTTAACAAATAACCCAAAAAATGAATAAATTAGTGGAGGGTGGATATCTCTTGGAAAGCAAGAGTAAGTGCCTCATCATACAGATATAACCATATCTTGTTTGCACTAATGTTTAAATGCATCATTATTATTATGTTTATGTTATCTTGTCCTTGTGATATTTTGGGCAAGTGTGAAAGGCAAATATATATAGCGTGCTTCTCTCCAAATTGGCCAATAAATTCTTATTATAACCATTCGAACATGTCATTAATGAAAGCAACAAATGACAAGGTTTTTAGGTTGGTGAAGACATGATTATTCCTTAATGTGATTTGAGTTCTAACGCCATAAATAAAGATGAAAGAACAAAGGGTTTTCTTTCTTTGCATAGTATCTTAAAGATATCTAGTGAATCCTACTGCAACAATAATGAAGCTTGGTGTTTTTTCTCTTTTTTTTTTTTTTGGTTTCAAGTGTTTTTCATGAACCATAGATGATTTTGAAATTGACCGTGCAAAAGAAAGTTTGTTTTTTTTATCTATGATTTTAGCAACTGAGCAATTTCAGCATCTTTGGTCCATGTGGCAATCTAGTGTTTCAAACGTGGAAAACTGAAAGCTACAGCTTTGTGACTCAAATGGTAACATAAATGTCACCTTCGATTTTCCCGTCTGAAATCTTCAAGAAGAAATTTCAGGAAAGCATCTCTGCAAGAAGTTCACATGCCCAAAGTGTACATCTGTAAGAAAAAAAACAAAAGCTTTTTGTGCTAGAAATGGAAATTACAATTAATTTTTTTTCAATATATATCAGTTACATTAATTGAAGGTGAAGTGTCGAGAATGGTAGAGCAGTTAAGTTGGAGATGGTGGTGGGAGCAGTCAACAAATGCACTTGAAAGAGAGAGAATCAATGCTCCCCATTTCCCTTTGCACGTGTTTTGCTCTTTAACCCTCCATTTTCCATCCCAACTTTCACTTTCACTTCCACTTTCACTCCCCAAACAAGTTTTTCTTTTTTAAGAATACTAACCCTTGTATTTTTGGTTTTTTGCTTTTTAATCCTTCATTTGCAAGCATTTATAATAAATATATGTTAATTGATTCTAGTTGAATTCAAAGTGCTAGTTTGAATTTGGATTGGGATTTAGGTTGATTTTTTTATGTAAAAGAAATTATTTTTTTTTAATAAAAAAATTATAAGTGTTAAAAATTTAAATTTTACTTATTAAATATCATATTTTAAAAATAATTACATGTGTTGATTAAATTAAGTTATAATATTGTGAAAAAACAAATTTTCATTTAGTAAAAGTTTTTGATAAAATAAATCTTAAAAAAGGACTAGCGAATTGCAATAAGCACCCTATATGGGTTATATCCTTAGTGAACAAAGTCTTTGTGGGCCGATTTCACAATTCTTAAGAAGTATAGGTCCCAACCAAAAAAAGAAAAAAAGGGAAAACCAAACACCTCACCTCGTATTTCACTTCACCCTGTTGTTTGCTGTCTCTGTTATTATGTAAGAAAATCTGAAAAACTACAATCACAAACAAAAACATTTGTGTTGGACACTAAAACAACCCAATAACATTCAGACATTGATCAAACAGAGTGAGAGAAAAAATAAACCCCCAATTAGAACTGAGAGAACAAGTGAACAACTAATAAAAAAAGAGAAGCTTTTGGTTTTTAATGCTCTATTTCTCTTTCTTTTCCTTCCTCTTTAGAAAGACTTTGAGTCTGCGTTTCTCACCCTCTCTCCTCTTCTTTCTTTTTTTTAATCTTTTTCAAAAATCGTGCTCTCTTTTGTTAGTTTTTCTTTTTCTTTTTTAACAGAAAGTGTTGGGAGAGAAGTGAGAAGCTAGGTTATGGTGAAGCAGCAACAGCAGAAGAATGATGATGTGGAGATGTTGGTGATGATGATGATGATGAAATGGCCGTACTGAAAATGGCTCAACAAAGCAAAAGTACCAACACCAACAATGCCAACACTTCAACTCATTTGCAACACCAACAACAAGTAAAGCCAACAATGTTTCATGATTTCCTGGGCATGAAAGCTACAGATTCCCCTGTTGTTTTAGCCCCTAAGGCCACTGATGCAAGGTTTTCAGAGGCTTCCGCTTCTGCTTCTGCCTCCGTTGGTGCCTCTTCTGGCGGTGGTGGTGCTGGCCGTGGCCCCATCTCTTCCACCTCTGATCTGGGTTCTGGTTAGTTTCTCCATCTTTCCATTAAAGCTTTTTTTTCTTTTTTTAATTTGTTTCATTTTCGTCAAAGCTGTTAATATGGGCTTGTTTTGAGTTTTTTTGCTTGGGTTTTTAGATTTTTTTTTTCATTTTCCCTATGGGTGGCTTTCATGTGGAAAACACAGAGTATTATAGATGACGGATTGTGAAAGCATGATTATTGCCGTATAGTTTCATGGGTAGTTTTGATTTTGTGTTCCAGTCACTGTTTGACGCTTAAAAAGCTTGATTTAACTGTTAAAGTAGCAAGTCTCACTCTCATAGTTGGGGTTAGTGTCTTAATGATGGATTAGTTTTTGTGAGGTCAGAAATGGTGTGGTAGCTCCTCCTCAAGCTCAGCCCTTCTCTCTCCATGTTTTATTTCATCTGATTATTTTTTCCTTATTTTACTTTGAGCTACATAGCTGTGTAAAATAAGGGTTTATGGTTTCTCTTTCAGTTTGGAATTTGTAGTTCTCCATTCGTCTGCTTTTTTAAGGTAGTTTAAGCCTCTATGGTGTGTGATGACTTCATCTACTCAATGCTGCTGTGCAATGTTGTCATCTCTGGTAGGTAAAAGGCCATCATACGTCTATGCTACGAGTGTTTGTTTTTCCTCAGAAACATCTCATTGCGAAATTACAGTACTTAATTAAGCATGACGTGTTACCAGTTAGCTGTTCTACTTTTGTTTATAATGATATGCTTTTTACCAAAGTTTGTTGACATTCCTAACCTTCAAGCTTGTTTCTTGTTATTCTACTGCTGAGGTGGCAAGATATTTGAAAGTGCCTATGTTTTCTGAATTGGGATTCTACCTATCACAGTTAAAGTTTGATCCATTTTCTCATCAATTAGTAGAAAGACAGGTTGGAAATCATCTCGATGGCATTCCCTACTATGGTCCAAGGAGTGAAATATCTGGGCCAGAGATAAGCAACATATTGATAGGAAGTAAGAGAGGTAATTCTGATTCGGCTTTTATGGGTCATGAATCTCTTGAAAGCTTGCATTTGATGAAGGTATTTGTGATATCTTATCATGTTTTACCTCTCTATTCTCCAAATCAAAGAGAAGCTCCATTTGTTGTTAGTCATTTATATTTACTAAATAATTTTCTTTATATTTGTACTCAGATGCTTCGTAATGGGGCTGTGGGAGAGCGACCCAGAAGGTCCAACGAGGATGAAGTGGTCCTTGGTATGCAGCCAATGAGGCCTTCTTCTGTGTCTCTTATGTTACAATCTCCCACCGGTAGCAGACTTGAAGGCAATTCTTCCAAATGCGAGCGGTCTGTCCCTATGATAGGTTCTGCAGTTCAGTGTGCTTCACGTGGTGGTCACTTTGTACCTTTTGTGCATCAAGTATCTTCAAACAGGTTCAAGGATACAAATGTTGGTCCTTCTGTTATCTCTCAGGCAGCTGCTGACGAAGGATCTAGAACTGGAATTAAAGGCCCTGGAATTTTGAGCTCTATTAATGCTAGTAGTGTTCCCACTGAAAAACCCTCATCTGGGGTAATTCAAAGCGCAGGCAGGCTGAAGTCTGGGGCTCATATTTCAGATCCAGAGTCTTCAGTTCCTACAAGGTGAATTTATTATAGTCTTTCTTTCCTGTTTTTGATTGTTGTGCTCGGGAAAGAATAAAAATACAGATAATGAATTCTGTATTTTCTGTTGTGCTGACAGTCGGCAAGGATTAACAACCGCCGGCCGACAAATGACTATATTTTATGCTGGACAGGCTCATGTCTTCGATGATGTACATCCAAACAAGGTTGGTCTCTTGTTGTTTGCCAATGGACCTCAAGTTTTTTAATTTCAATTGTCCTGAAAGGTTGTGGTGCATGCTTATAAAGACCTCTATCTGATTAAGTATTTCATCTAATTGAATATTTAGTCTAGGTTGGCTAGGCCAAGTTGATATTGCTGTTACGTGATATAATCCATAGAATTGCAAAAGAAACTAGATTTCAAATTTCTCTGTCGCTGGATGAGACATTGTCTTGCACAAGAGGACCATTGAGCTTAACATCATCCATAATGGAGCCTGAGGGTAGACCTGCATACTTAACTATGTGTATTGGAGCTTAGAAGTTTCCAGAAAGTTTGATATGTACATGTTTTCAGAAACATCAGATGAGATTGCATGCAGGTTCTTTTGATATCCATAATGGCTTGGAGAATAGGAGGAATGAGCCCGACATGCATATTCTGTAGTTCTTTTCTTTAAACATGTTATTGAGGAGTGGAGTAAAGCTCCTGTTCATGTTGCTTCCATTCTAACCTGAGTTTATGCAGCCTGTTACTCTAGGAAATGGAGCTACCATTGTTCCTTGGATGCATAACATAAGCTTACCATTAAGGCTGGTTATGGAGAAACTGCTGTCTAAGTTTTAAGCGTACTGATGGAAGTTTAGAAAATATGCTTACCATTAAGGCTGGTTACTATATGTGGATTTTACTACCTATCTGGGCTTTAATAATGTGGTCTATGAGCTATGGTATTACCTGAGCTCATATATGTATAGTTCTTTTGAGGATCTGTCAATTACCTTTGATTATTGAGAAATTGGGATTTTGATTTGAGAACTGAAGATTGTTACAGACTTTGGAATTTGAATGCAACTGAGATTTTTCAATGTTTCTTCCATTGTTGTTTCCTTGCTCACACAAATTTCTGTCTGAGATACTGGTGCTGAGTCATTGGAGCATTGCCTCAAAAAAATATATGGCTATATCAGTTTTAAGTTGTCTTAACTTGTATTAGCCCCTTCTCTCTCTTTTGGGGTGATATAAAGTGGATTGCATTTTTGTTTTTTTGGAGAGTCAGTTATGTTCTATTGTGGAAAAGTTAGGTTGTCTTGAAAGCCTGATATCATTTGCTACCTTAGAAGATTTTAGTTAAGTTTGTAATTAAATGAAAGAAAATGATACACTTTCAGGGTAGTGCCAACCATAAACTAGGGTAGTACATACTAAACAACAAGTTAACAAAATGAAAGCTCTGATTGTACCATCTTTTAGATAAAGGGAAGATTAGTTACGAACTGGATCAAAACCAGAAACACCAGCTAAGTTAGCTGGAATAACCTATAGCCCAACTATTACACAGATAACTTGTGAGAACAGGAGAAGAGCTAATGCTTGCATAAACATGTACTACAATTTGCTGAAAAACAGCTTCTGAAAAGCAGTAGTTCATACTCTGGTTCTTGTCACTTTTCTGGTTTCCCATTTTTCAAAATTTTTCGTTGGTTTTTTTTTATGCCTTACATGTCAAGTATTCTGTAGCTTGAAATTCTTAACATACAGTTCTGGTCATGACCACTGTTTGCTGTATGGTCATTTCAGGCAGATGTCATAATGGCATTGGCTGGATCCAATGGAGGATCTTGGTCGACAACCTTCTCTCCTAAATCAGCTGTGAGGCCAGTTAGTGAAAATTATGTGCCCAGTGGAGAACCTGAAGCAGTGGGAAGCATGGCATTCTCACGGGAATTTCGAGGGAGGATAGCTGTTGCTGGTAATACTAGTCAAGGAACTGGTTCTGGTGAACGAATCTCAATACAAACAGGTGATCCTTCTACTTGGTCCGATAGTATTGGTTTCCATTTTGATTGCATCAGTATGTTTTAGTGGTTTCCCTAGCATGACACGAAAAAAACTTGTTCTATTGTCACTCCAACTCCAAATGAGTTGCTTTTTATTGCATTATGTTGTCATTCATGAACACGTAAATGCCTTCAGCTCAGGATTCAAATATGATTACACAATTGACAAGAAATGCTCTAGTTTAGCATGTTATGGTGTTCATTATTCTCTAAACTGCAGGGCTTCCTCAAGGCACTGTTTTTATCGCGAAAGATGCAAGAAATCCAGCCCAAGCAGCGGAACCTAGTGCCATACATAAAAGAAAGGTACAGAGTTATGGGAGTTCGAAATAGCTTCAAATCTTTTAGCCTGGCTTATTAGGAAAGAACGAGCCGTTCTTATCTGTCATCAATGCTTCAACCATATTTTTTAACAAGAGAAGGTGGGTGGCTTGGGGGGAAGATGGGGAGAGTAACTTTCTTGTTTATAGAGGAGACAACTAGATTATCAATTAACCATCAGGTGCAGATCCTTTTAATCTTCTCATGTGCTCTTAATCTGCCTTTGTTAATCTTTAATCTTATACGTAATATGCTATTAGCTGATTTAGTCTCTTTCAACTTCTAATTTTGGTTGTTCTCAACATCTGAAATTCCGAGTAATTTTTTTTCATTCGGGGTAAGAGATTCGAAACTTATTCTTTGAACAAAAGATATATGCACGATCATTGAATTAAATGTTCTGATGCAAAAAGAATAATTAACAAAATATGCTACAAGATTTTCTTCAATCATAATCTTTATGTGAAGTTTGTCTAAATCTGATCTGAATTGGGCTTTATCTTAATGGGCCGATCAAATCATAGATTTTGTTCTTTTTGTATATATGTTTCAATTCTGAAGTTCCAATGCTCATGTGTCTTCTTTGTGATCTTAGGATTAGTGGTCCAATTCTTTGAAATTGGAAGTTTGTTCAAGTCAAAAGAAAAGGATTGTTCAGGAAAAACAAGAGTCCCATTTCCAATTTCTAAGTGAACATTTCTAAAACGATTTTTTTAACACGTGGCCTAATTGTGATTGTAGTGATTTTATGGTCATAGATGTAATGAGTTCAAAATCTATAATTCGTTTTGACCCAAAATCTTATTTGTCTTTTGCGTAAAGCTTTTAATTGTCAATGGAGCAACACATTTGGAATGAAGTTAGGAAAAAGAAAATAAAAAAAAATTCCCAATGCTTCAAATTTCTTCAACTTTTCTAAACTTCCACGGCACTCTCACCCCACCAAAATTCCAGGCTGAGAAATTGGTTAATCTTGAAATTCCTCTCAGAGAAAATTCCACCTTTTGAAAATCAACTTGGGTTTTTCTCTTTCTTCATGATTTGTTACTTGACTTCAAAAAGAATAAAAAAAAAAAAACTTTTTAGATGTATATATCTCTATGAAACCAAAACCACCAGTCAGACAAAAAAAATTTTGCATGCCTTTTTTTTTTTTGGAGCCTAGTGGAGTTGCAATCGGAGATCAAATTCTTACACTGTACAAGTTTTGTTCAAGTCAAGAACTGTGACAAATAGGCTGCCTTTGGCGTGACCAAAAGATTTCCCCACTGTTTAGCCAAACTCCTTCCATTCCATGTGACTGGCCATGTTTAGGGGTCGGTGGATGGAGAGCAGCTACTGATTGAGGGACAGTGATCCTGTTGCCGATGTCACCTCTGTAATTAGAGATCCAGCCAATTTGTCCACCCAAGCAAATTTCTTGGTTTTATTCTATTGCCAAATGCTCAACCCCAAGATGCCAAAGATGATCAGAAATGTGAATCCATGTGCCAATCAATGAACATAAACGGGATCAATGGATTATGATTGTCATCACATTGTAGTTTTGAATCTGTCCCATTCAACCTTCATGTAAATCACACAGTCATACATGTGCACCTTGTTAAATGTGTTTTCTTATTCCATGATTCTAATTGTGAAAAAAAAAAAAGGAAAAAAAAATCTCATTTCAACATTGTAATTATATATTGGAATTAATAACGATTGGTTAGAAACGAGTCTCATGCTTGGACACCAACCTTAGAAGTGTTTGACACGATAACTTTCAAAATTGTTGACATATCTAACAACATAGTTATGTTACATGTTTTTGCCAACATTAATAATAATAAACTTGACCAATTATTTACATACAACTACCATAATTTAATATTTATACCTCACCATTAATTTGGAAAATTAGATAATAATTTAATTAATATAGATTTTTTTTTGTTTAAAAGAGGTTGAAGCCCAAGAAAATACAAAGAGTAGTTATTATAATTTGGAAATACTTGTTCATTTTGTTCATTTCATACACAAAGCAGCAATTTTTTTTATTATATTTGAAGTGTTATGCTTTGAATTTTGATTACTGAAACTACATATTTAATATTTTATTAATAAATTACACGATCGTTAGCAATAAAGCAATAATGTTCTTATGGTATAGATGAGAAGATACAAGAATGAAGGAGAAATTGAACCTTGAAATGGAATATTTTTAAGAAGAGATAAACAAGCATTTAAGTCAAGTCTAGATAGCTATGGGAGCCGTATAGTATATAGAGTTTTGATCTGATGATAAACTCCAGATTGACAGGCTAGATATATAGATATGGAGCATCAAATTTGGTGGCTTGATATTCTCCTTGACAAAACTAAGAAACAAAAGGAAATACAAATTATTCTGGCTTAATTAATTTTTTATTTATTTTTCATATGCAATTTGTTGTTGCTGGACTTGAGAGAGTTTAATTATTTAACTAATTAAATCAAGCAATCCTTTCCCAATTTTCCAAAATCTCCCACTTCAGGACAAGGCATGTCTATTGTCCACAAAAGCAAAAGAAAGAGAAAAAAAATATAATAATAATAATAAAAAAAAGAGTCCCTCCTTATCATGGAACATGAAAACTGTTTCCAGTCTTTGAGATGCCCCAACTTTCTGCATTTTTTGTTACTTCTTTTGTCTCATTCAACCAAGTCCTTCCAAATTTCACATCCAGACAACATTTTGTCCAAACAGCCACCCTAACCCACCTGTTTCATGTCAAATCTCATTAACCTAATTCCCTTTATTTTTATCTTATTTACATCAAGTAATGCATATAAATTGTTGTTTGCTGCTCTATTGATCAACCACAACAAAGAAAACCCTAGCCTAGTTTCTTAATTTTTTGTTTTATTTTTCTTTTTTGAACTTATCATGACCACCACTCTCTCTGAAGCCTACAGGGAGCATCCTATCCATCTCCGCCATATCATTCCTTTGGATTTCAACTCCGCCCGGATCGTGCCCGACTCACACGTGTGGCCTAAATCCGATGATTTCTCATCTGATCACCGGTTATCGATCCCTGTAATCGACCTGAAGGATCCCAATGCTGTGAAACTTACAGGCCATGCATGTGAGACATGGGGTGCGTTCCAAGTCATTAACCATGGCATTCCTTTGAATCTTCTTGAAGACATGGAATCTGAGGCTCGGCGGCTGTTCTCTCTCCCGACTCAGCAGAAGATGAAGGCGTTGCGTGAACCAGCGAGCGCCACTGGATATGGCCTAGCTCGGATATCCCCGTTTTTCCCCAAGTATATGTGGCACGAAGGGTTTACAATCATGGGTTCACCTGTTGTTCATGCTAGGGCACTTTGGCCTAATGATAATGCACGTTTTTGGTAAGTCCATGCACTTTTCATTCATGCACGTAGGCAAAAAATTTTGATGAAAATAAAGATACAAGTACAAGTAGCTGCTTCCTGGATACAATGAACCTTAAATTTTTGTTCCTTTTTCATTTTTAGAGGAAGCAACTTCTCGTTAACAATGGCTCGAAATGGATTGGCTCCTTTTCATTAAAGTGGATTTATCTTTGCCCAAGAAAAATCTCCGATTTAGTGGGGAACCTTTTAATTATTAATAATAAGGTCTTTATTCTAGCTATATTAATTCAAACAACTTTAAGTAAAGCTAGAATCTATAGTAATTAATACCCTCTAGGTTTTATTTTTTTTTTTTCTATCTTTTGGGATGTATCAAAATGAAGGTTTTTTTTTTTTTAAATTTTTGAACACTTTATACTCTTTTTTTTATGTTTAATTTTTTTTTGTTTTTTTTATAAGAAGTATATATGGTACATCAATATTATAAAAAATTAGATTCATGATATTAAATATACAAAAATGAAAACTTCTTTAAAATACATGAAGGTTAAAAAATAAAAGAATAAAACCGAAAGAGTAATAATTAGCTGTGTTTGATCCCGGAAGCTAATCTTTTGCTTCAAAATAATGAAAAATCCCTTTTAGTTAATATCTATCCATGGTCCAAATTCGTTTTTAACTTATATTATTACCCCTTTCAGGACTGGAAAGGATCTCTAGCATCTAGGAATGAGTTAATAGTGTTTTTTTTCCCTTGAGGATATATCTTTAATGTATTGACAGTGTATAAAATTTTATATATTATTAGTAAATCAAATAATATTATTTTGTTAATGAGATAAATAAGATTATGTCATCTTATTAATAAGTAATTTTTTAAAAAAATACTTATTTTTTGTATATTTATTTTAAAATTTGATATTTATTCATTAATGAATTGATATTATCTTATTTACTAATAATATATAAATAATAATAGATCACATATAAATTATTTTTTATTAAGATTATTAGGATTTGAATTTGATTACTAAAACTAAAAAATCTAACACTCTACCACAGGTCCATGCGAGCTGGATTCTGTTAGCAATAATGTTTTACTTACCATTCAAGCAAAAGATTGCGCCTATACATATATTGAAGAATAAGGGTTTTACACCATTTTATAGATCACCTCAAAGCTCACATTTTACACCATTTTGATCATGCATATATTGCTGTATGTCTACATATGAATTACAGTGATGTGATAGAGAGATATCAGAAGAAAATGGAAGTACTAGCAGAGCAACTCACACATCAGATCCTCAACTCATTAGACATTTCCCAAGAAGACCTAAACTGGGACTTGGGTTCACCCTACACCGCTCTCCAACTCAACTCTTACCCTTCATGTCCAGACCCGAATCGAGCCATGGGTCTAGCCCCACACACCGACACATCCCTCTTAACCATTCTACACCAAAGTGCCATAAGTGGTCTCCAAATCTTCCAAGAAGGAGTGGGTTGGGTTTCTGTGCTCCCCATTGCTGGTGCCCTGGTGGTTAACGTTGGCGATCTTTTGCATATTTTATCAAATGCTCGATTCCCTAGCGTGCTTCACCGAGCTGTTGTGAACCCAGATGGGTGCCACAGGTTATCTGTGGCTTACTTCTATGGATTACCCACAGATTCTAATGTATGTCCGTTGCCAAAGCTCTTAAATATTTCAGGCCAAACCCCCAGATACCGATCTGTGACAGTGAAAGATTATGTGCTTATCAAGTCTAAGAATTTCGAGGAAGCACTTTCATTAATTAGAATTTAATTTAATTAAGCCAGGCCTTTTTTTAAAAAAAATTTTAACATTAGTGGAGGGGAACTATTTGGATTTTAATTCTTCACTTTGGCAGTTGCCGGTTGGAACTATAGTTGTAATTAAATAAAATTATATTCCTTTTAATTGTGTTATTTTGGCTTTACTTTATTATAAATACATTACTAATTAAAATATGAAAAAATACTTTTAAAAAATATTGAATGAAGAGATTTTCAAATATATTTTTATAAAATTTAATTTAATAAAATATTGTTGAATATACATGAGGCAATTATTTTGTCAACTCAATTAATTTTACAGATTTAAACCTATTTGCATTGCAAAACTCCAAGAGAAGAATGTAAGCAGTTTGACTTAAGTTTTCAAAATACTTTTTTTTTTTTTTAATAATTAAGCATATGAATCTAACATCAATAATTTTAGGCCTTTTAACTCTTTGATTTCAGTTGTTCTTTTTCATGGTAGCATATCAAAAATAACTTGCATTCACTTTTTTTTTTTTTAATGTCTTGCTCATAAAGTTTTATTGAACCTTTGAAATGTAACTGGCTAAATTTGATTATTTCATATAACTAGTTTGAAACATTGTTAATTTGTTATTGTCGGTTTAAAATGATCAATGAAAAATTCACTACAAGAAAGTACCATTTAATGGACAATACAAAATCCAAAATAGAAAGATGAAGTACTTATTTTATAATTTTTTTTTAAATTAGTATCTACATATAATTTTTTAAAATATATTAATTAAAGCATTCGAGGGCAAAAAGACAAAAAATACCTACAATAATTAGGGTTATTTTAATCAATCATTACTTTAAATCATTTATCAATATTTTTTATAAAAAAATTATAGTTTAAAAATTAAAAATAATATAAAATTTAAATATTTTATTAAATATCATTTTTTTTAAATATTACAGAATATTTTTCGTATGCTGAACAGTAAAAACGAGGTTAATGTCCTTTCATTAGTACTATCTTTTTTTTTTTTTTTTTGTGATTATAAAGTTTGCAATCTTTTAATTGCAAAAAGAATGGTTGCATCAAATCATAGAACAGTTCAAAAACACCAAAGTCCAAAACCAAAAAAACTTGTCCACTTCACGACAAAAGAATCTTAAGAAATCGGGCTCTGTCTGTATTCGGACACTGCACCATACTATTTTACAATTATTATCATCAGCAATAATTGTTTCTTTTTACCCTTTATCATATAATCTTCATCAACTTTACATCTGGTTCCTTTGTCTTATATAAGGGGATATAATAATAATAAATTTTCTAATAAAAAACATTTTTCTTATTTAATTTATTTAAAATTATTAAAATATATATTGTCTTGTTTAAAAAGTTTTATCTATGTGTTTTTCATTTAAATTTTTTTAAAAAAATTTAAGCTGGTACAAATTAAATTTGCTTGGCATGAACAAGACAATGAACACAAAAAAAAAGGGTTTATTTTGTTTATTTTCTCTTTGTATTTGCTTTGGGTCAACCCATTTGCTTGTTATAAACTTATAATTATTTATATTCATAGTGGTGGCTTATTCTTAGATATAAAAAAAAAATTTATTAAATTCAAATTTTAATTTAATTATTTATTCCATAATTAAATTTAAATTTTAAATTTCAGTACTTACTATTATTTTTATTCTCCATCTTTTTTATTAAAAAAAAAAAAAAACTTCCCATAATTATTTCTAATTTTGTACCACTAGCTGGTTAAAAAAGAAACGTTTTTTTTTTTTTTTAATTTTGAAAACAAATGAAAAGTGAAAGGCTTAAACTGGGGAAGGGTACGTATAATTAGATTCTTTTCGTTTTTCAATCCTAATACTAATTTTCTTTGCAGTCGGTGAAATCAAACAAAACTTTTCATGCACGCCGACGGATGACTTAATTAAAGAGACCAAATTTCATTCAAAGAAAAAGATAAAAAAAAAAAAAAAGAAAAGGTCAATAATTTTACATGGTTGCTTTTCTTGTGAACATGACACAATCCTTTTTCCCTCTTGTCCTTCGCCAAATGCGCAAGCAATTAGCAAAGTAGCTTCAGAGCTCATCTTATTGGTTAGGTTTGCTGGATTTGGACCCTCTCTCTAGCCTAACTCAAACCCTTGTTTGAACATGGTTCATAACTTGACAATTCTTTCTTGTTATGTTTTTATTTTGTGATTTAGTTGAAGATTATGTGATGTGAATCAACCGTTGAAATTTATTTGAATGGTTAATGAAAAATTTTTTTTTGGATATTATAAAATGTTGATGGAACTATAAAATTCTTTATCCATCGACTTTTCAAATGAAATATAACTGCACTGTATTAAAAAAAAAAAAAAAAAAGAGAGATGAGGAGCTTACAATAAAATGATAAATTACTATTTTTTTTATACAAAAAATTTCTAAAATAAGTAAATTTTTTAATTTTTTAAAATAAAATATATCATATCTAACCTAAATAATTATAAATCATATATTTAAAATTATCCTAATAAATAATTACCGATTCAAAGCAAAACTTCTTTTCGACAACGAACCTTAACCATCAACTTATTGACGATGACAAATTACTACCAGGTGTTTCCAGTCCCTAGTCTTGAGCAAGACCTGAAACCCAGGCTAGGTTTGCCTTGGCAATATCTATAATATATGGCCCACTGTATATTTTGTCCAAGAAGAAGAGTCTGGACGATATTCACATTTAATTCTGTTTCGATAACTACACAGGTAGGTAGGACGATACTTAAAATTAATTCAATCAACTTGCGAGTAAGATTTTTTTTTTCTCTGAAAAGTGTGGGTTCCTACTGACTCATGATTCTTGGCGTTTTACAGGTTTTCCCCTAAAGTTTTTGGACAGTGGCCAATAGAACAATAGAGCACAATTCCACTTGGAAGGCACAAGAAGCCAAGAACCAACATTCTATCCTTGATTCTAAGAGCATCATGATATGATCATCAAGTAAAAAGTTTATTAACCCATCATGTAAACCTTAATCACAAAGTGGCCCAAACCATTTAAAGATGACAATTTTGATTTAACAACATTGCTTGCATTTGAAAAACTTCCAGAGAATAAGACAGTCATGTTTGCATAGAATATCAAATCAAGCTTCCTTTGCTTTTAACATTTCTATGACGATGACTATGAAGATGATGATGATGCAGCTAGGTAATGACTTAATTATAGCATTAATCAAAAGTTTGAACACAACTTGTCAGATGAAGACAAAACTACAAGGGATAATGTTATGGTTGTCATTCTAACTCTTCTATTAACATTATTATCCAATAAAAAAATATATCCTATTAACAGTTCACACATATAGTTGTGCCACCCCAAAAAATAATTCCGAACACTGACATCGGCAAACAAATTTATAATGAGAATTAGTGTGTCAATTCATGTGAATAATGTTTGTATAGAATTTAGGGAGATGATCCACCACCAACGTGGATCATCAGCTGCATATGAAAAGTAATAGAACACTATAGCAGTGGTAGGCTTGAAAATTTGCTTTCGATTAAGGAAGACAATTTGATATCCACCTAACTATTTCCGAGGTTAATCAACTAATCAGTCACGTTTTTACATCCAGCAGGCATAAGGTCTGTAGCTTTGACTGCGTAAATGATGCTTTGAAATGTCAACTTGAATTTAGGCTGAAATCTGGCCTTAAAGTCTCTCATTCCTTGCGCACTCCTCCTGAAAAATTGAAAGCTCTATGTCAAAATTCCAAGTTAAACAGCAAAGGAGGACCGTGAGGACAATCAACAAATAATATTACAAACAGTGCTCTGCCCCTCAGCTCATCACTGCCCAACTACCTCTTCTGGATTATTGATGAAGATTATAATAATCCATCACCCATCATCCCACCAGGGAAATGTGATATTCACCTAAGCCATTACACCAATATTTAAATCTGGGACCTGACATCACACTGTTTGGTGAAATGAAATCTTCTGCTTGAATCTCAGATACATGTTTAACACACACACACAAAAGTACAATCAGTGTTTTCCAGACTAGACCAAATTCTTTTCTATTGCCAAATGGAGTACAAGGCTCATAGAGGATGTCGGAGCCAGGGTGATTAAATACTGTTGAATTCAGAAAATGACTTTGGCATAAAATGTAGTATGAACAAGTTATCTCCTGAATACTAACTCATGTACAACGTAGCTGAGGCTGAAATCCGGTAGCAACAAAGAGGTCATCAGCAAGCAGCCTAGGTTGACATCCATGTTGCTCAACAGTATCCCAAAGAGCATCAGGGCTCTTAATTTTCAAACTCCAAATTGATTGTTCTGCTAGATCATGGAAACTAGCACACAACTTATTTTCAGTTTCAAAAAATGGCTTCTCCCTATTTTTGCACCATTTCTCTCCAAAGCCAGTACTCCAGAAACAATGTCAACTCATTTCTTCTCTGGAATGACTGAAAATTTTTTCATAACCATCATGAGTGCGATGTTGTCACCCGGAAAAGCTTTTAAGCGAATAGCAGCGTATTTTGCTCTGCCACTGCAGCAGTATACCTCTCTTTTGAGAGCATCACAAACTTTCTGCTCTTCTTGAAGCCCAAGTTGCACCTTTTCTAGCTTCTGCAAAACAAATGCTTCATGAATACACCTCCAAATAATCTAAAACATCCTTAACATCAAAGTAGGTTAAACTCCTTAATTAGTTTCAGTAGCCAATGGAACTGTTCACTTTACTTCCAATTCAGTTAATCAAGCACAAGTTCCATGCTTGGTATGATTTTGCTGAGCAATTACAAATTAGTAGGAATTGAATAATTACCATGTTTGGTTCTAATTTCACAAAATATGATAAAGATAAAGATAGTATAGAAAAACCTTTATTGTAGTTATAAACTTAAGGAAATATAGTTTCAACAATAAACTTTGAAAACTTGGCAACATTTTATAGCCTAGTGTATCACAAAGATAAATCTTTACCAGAATCAATGAGCAATCATTGTTAAACTATAGCTCTAGCCTCTAAGTTTCGTTAGTGAAAGTGCACAAAATTACCCTTTTCTTATTAATGCAAAATATGCATTGCAGGTTCTGTTTTTGTCACTTGTCAGTTCAAAATAAAGCATATAAAAATT